TGAACCATGCTGCAGACTATCCAGGGATCCAGGTTGAGATAGTTGTGCGCGCAAAATATCATTATCTCGCTTTAATTGATAATTTGTTTTTGACTTTTTCTAATTCCATAATTTTCTTTTCCTGCTCCTTAAGGCACTCTTGTAAACTGTAATGTTTAATTTAAAATAATTATGAAAGTATTAAAATATAAATAATAAATTTTAAATTGAAATATGCAGTACAAGTTTTAAATAAAGCAATTAATACAATTTATTTCTTTATCATTTTCCCTGCATGTACTTTCTACAATAGTGATAAAATTCTATTCAAGTTTCTCCTCAAACTTGCAACATGCAACACTGTGAGCCTTCATTTACAATAATGAAGACAATAAGAAATTAAATTTAATTTATGTGAATGTATTATGTAGTCATGACCAGCCAAATCAAAGAAATTTTGAAAAATAATGTTAATATATATTTGTATAAAAACCTTTGATTTGAGTCTCGTAACTCTGTTATATATTCACAAGCTTTAGCTAGAATTCCTCCTTTTGATTGGCTTTCTATTGATTCTAATTTTCCATTTCCATTATGGCATCTTCAGATATAATTTTTGCTAATTTTGTAATCCAATGTTGATTTTATCCCTTCTTCTCCTTTCAACCTCATTATGTGTAGCTCTTCTTCTATCATCCCTCTTAAAAACAGATAATAAAAGTAAATTACATTGTATAGCAAATATATAAAAAGTGCATTCATCTTACACACTTTTTTTATACCATGCGTAACTTGAACAATTCTTCCAGATTCTGCTAGACGTGGCGCGCAGGGATCTTGTTTGGGCTGCAAATACATCTGTTCCTCCAATTACATAATATTGCCCTGAAAAATATATAAAATAAGTTCTGATGATAATAGTAAGTGAATTGTAACGGAAACTCAAATTTACGGTAAGTTGTAGTAGTTTTTGAAAAAAGGAATTTGTACATAAACAGGATAACACATTCCTTTTATTCTTAGCTTATTAATGTATATAAAATAAATATTACACAAAAAATTTATACATAGGTTTTACATTAAGCATTCGTAAAAGATCTTTAGATAGTATTTATGATAACTAAATATTTAAATTTGAATTGTGGTTTTAGTTATTATACAGCTTATTTATGAAGAAAAAAAGCAAATAAAAAATATAATGTGAAAAATATTGTTGTTAGTCTATACAAACATATATTTACCATCAAATTGGTGAAGCGATCATTGCTTGCTGAGAGCCATTTGGAGAATAGGAAGGACCCGCTGAAATCAAGGGATCCCATACTGTCTTCTGTTTTTACTTCTATAACACTATAAGCCAGTGATCCTATATTTAATTAGATATTGAGTAACTTCGTAGAAATAAATAGTAAGAAATTATTGTATACCATTGACAACAACCGCAAACTGTCAGTTTGACATTAGACATTTAAAAAAAAAATCTTACCCGAACTTTCATCTATTACTCCAAGAATTTCTTCACCATCACACTAAAACGAATTATTAAAAAGGATTATGTTATTAATAAAACATAGTAAGGTCAAATTCTACTTGTGTTTTCAACTTTAAATTAAATCCAATGACCTTCATATCTATTAGCATTTTATTATATAATGACCCGAAAACATTAAAAAAGACACAATACTCAAATTATTTACAGTATTCTCACCTGTTGTCGAGAGAATATTCTATTTTTTCCATAATAATAAATTAGTAATCATAAATATTTCAAATTAAATAGATTGATCACGGGGACAAATAAACAGGTCATGTGATGCCCCCAGTCGAAATGTTACAAATGGCGGAAAGATACTGATACCATTTGTGACCAATCAGGTAGTAGAAGATCAAATAGTGATATAAACAAGTCAAAAGCGCGAACTTTGAATTATTAATAGTTTATTTATTGAATTTGAATTGCAGTTCACCAGTGCCATTTAAGATGAAAGCTTAAATAGATGAATGTGAAAATTGTCAAATTAAATATTACTTTAGTCTTTTACTTTTTATTTAATTTCTTTACATATGTTGTTATTAAATTTATATAAAGATTTATGATTAGTTGTATATGACACAGGAATAATCACTGATGATGTATCACAAATAGCATTCCATAAAAAATGTTAAGAGCCTTATATGCCGATATTACATAACTAATTATTGCACAAATATTATATATTCAACTTGTGTATGCAATATAAAGTTTTAAATTTATACAAGTGTAATTATTCATCTACTGTAATTTGCTACAATTATCATAAATGACTATAAGGCTCTTATATGAATACATAAAATATATAATTAATCAAGTATACACATAACATCACTTTAATAACATACAATAATCTAAATAATAAAATATTCCTTAAGTAGTTTAACGAGTATAATAAACTCTATAATATAATGTTTTGCTTCTCCACATACTGTAAGAATTATCAAATTTTAATAAATAAACACCTTCTCCAGGGTACTGATGTGAGCCAGCATAAACTTCTAGATGACAATCTCTACGATATACAGGCACAATTTCTGTAATAGGTGGCTTTGAGATTCCTGTAAGTGGAGCAACTGTAGATTGTGGACCGCACTCCAAATCTTCAGGAAGAGTTAATTCTATTAAGAAATTATAATAAAATCCATTAATTAATGCATACAGTTTTATTATTCATGTTAAATATTTTTTTAAATTTACCTTCATCATCCTCCAATTCATCTTCATCTTCACTCTCAGTTATATGGACAGTAACCTAATAAAAAATTAAATAGCATATAAGACTATAGAAAAAAACTTTTATATAATGGTTTTTATCTATTATATTTATGAATAGAATAAATTTTTATTTGTATGAATATTTATGCAAAACGCAATTAATTAAAATGCACATAAAACAAACCTGTGTGGTAGGGCTCTTTGACCATTCAAAGTACAATCCAAAGCCTATGTCATGATTTTCTGTGGCAAATTCCCAATAAAGTTGTGAACCTCCCTCATGCGTTGGAACACTGAAAATATATTGATTAAAAATAAATTAAAATGTTAAACCATATGTCATTTTGTATGTATATCTTGTTCATTCATTTTTAGGTTACAAAAGGCGTATATGAATAATAAAAATTATGAAAACTTATACTAACCGAACTGTAACTGTTTCACCATGGCCAATTCTGATGACTCCGTCACCTTCACCACTACTAACAGCAGCTTTAAATGCTGACATATCTTGCCTTGTCCACATATTTGCAATAGCTATAACATATTCGCCTAAAATTTTAAGATTAATTATATATCAAATATATGTATGTATATATATATATATATATATATATATTAAGTAAGAATAACAAAAAAAATTGGTTATTTATTATCTATACCTTGTGATTCACAATCACTTTCATAATTCTCACTGTCATGTCTAACTTTGATGCCTTGTGAATCAATATTACTAATTTCAGATACTGTTTCAGCTGTGTCTTTGCTCAGATCTGATTTATCTGTTTTGCATACTTCAGTTGAATTACTCTTAGATATATCTATTTCTGATGGGTCTTCCTTTTTAATATTTTGATTAACTAAATATCCATAATGTAGTTGTTGCATATACTGATTATAATGCTGATCTTGTAGCTGTCGAATAAGAACTGCCTGTTCATCAGGACTATTTGGAAACTGCTGTTCTGCATAAGCTTTGAATTGGTAAAATGACTGCTCGTTTAGCAAATCTTTTATATTCCGACTGTAATTAAATAAAACTTAAAATATAATTCATTCATGAAATATATAAAAACTATAAATCCTTATATTTAAGAAAATATATAAGTCTTTAAATTTAAATTATAAAAACTAATATATTGTAGAGATAGTAAGTAAAAAATATTCTATTAAACTAAATTTACATATCAAAAATCTATGCTTTTAATAGGTTTAAGAACAGAAAATATATCACATATTACTCATTACTCACAAAATAAAAAATAACCAAAATACAATCCTGCAATTACCTTTGAAGTTCTTTATTTATATCGTCCTGTTGTTTCATTTTTTGCACAGTATTAATTGGTTGGTTCACATTTATAAGTCTAAAAATAAAATTATATTTTTTGGATTTGAAATCTTAAATTTTTTTTTTTAAATAAAAAAACAACTTACTCAGTTTTACTTTTCTCAACTTTTGCCTTTTTAATGGCCTCAATATAAGGTTTGAATAGTGGACACAATCTGTAACACAACAACACAAAATAGTTCAAGGTAATTAAAATCAGAACTATTGTTAAATTATGCATTACCTATCTAAAAGATCAATAAATCCTTCCATAGATTGCGCCTTGGATAAGTTTCCTAATTGCATCCAGGCTAGCCTTCTATCGCGCCCAATAACATCAAGGACACCCAATGAAGGTAATTCTGTAGCATCAAATTGTCCATGTTTAGCTTGCTGTGTGAAAGCTATTAATTTTAGTTTATCGTCATAACTTAGATGTAGCGCTTTGCCTTCTTTCTCTGAAATTAATAAATTTTTAGATTACCGGCTCAATAAAAATAACATGTAACAATACCTTTATAAAATTCTACGGCTAGCCTATACAATTCTTTTAAAGGAAAATCCCATTTATTTCCTATGTTTTCCAAATCATTAGCATCGTCAATATCTAATTTGTTAATTCCAATTTCTAAATTTTGCGTCAAATCCATGATTTGTGCAAAAAAAGTCTAAAATTTTATACGTCAACTACCATGTTTTGCCACACGTCAAATTACTGTCAAAGCATACAACAACAGGATTGCAAACATTAGAACATCGAATTCATAAACAAATTTCAATCTTTCTAGCGGATAATTCAAATTGTGGGCTAATGGGAATAAATTTCTGAAAAAGTAAAATAACGATATATTATATCCAATATATTAAACTGTTATATTATTCAATAGCCAATATACATTATTAGTTGTATCAAAGTTTATATTATCCATGATATCGCTTTCTGTGCAACTATTTTGAACTTGTTCTTCATTTTGCTCAATATGAATTTTCGTTTTCTTGCCTTTCTTTTTTGATTTCTTGGGTTTATTATCATTTAAAATGCATTCTAAAAATCCTCCTATAATATTAAGTAGTATTTTATAATTGTTGAATAATAGTGGTGAATCTACTAACAATAGTTCTACATATGCCAATATATTTGTTCTAGACTTTAGATGATTAAAAGCATTATAAATAAAAGTTCCATTATATAGCTCATGTATCTTACATTGTGGCATTGGATGACCTAACACTGAGTTTAAAACATTTAATTGTAGTACCACATTTTGAAACATAGAAAATACATGTACAGTTTTTCTGGAAAATAATTTGTTACTGCTCTTTAGTTTTTCATCAACTTTAAAATAATCTACCATTTTTAAAGCACATTTATAGCATTCTTTCTTTGAAATAGAATCTAATGAGTTGAATTCATCAGTATTAAAATTTCTTGCTTCAACTGTGTCATTTTCAAGCTTATTGAGAATCTTTTCTAATTTTATATTCGATCTACATGAATCAATGACAGGATTTATAAATTGTAAATAAATCAAACACAAAATTATACTGTGAATGTGAACTGGCAATAATGTTGGTCCATCAATATTTCTACCGAACCAAAATATTGATAGGATATACAAATGTAAATTTTTGGGAATTGAGTTTAATATATCAAAAGGCTGCTCTTGGATCGTTTCTTCAAAAAATGTTATAAACAAATCAGTCGCAGGGTAAAAGTTATTCAACACATCAAATTTGTAAAACTTAACATTTGTAAATAAATCGCCAACATTTATCTTCTGATTAGCAATGTGATTATGATCATTGCGGCCTACATATGTAAATTCCTCTGAGCCAGGGCAAATGATTTTAAAAATATAAGCTAAAATAGGAAACATAATACTATTACAATCTTTAAAATTCAAATCTTCTATTTGAGGATTAGAGTAAACTGTTTTACTGATTATAAAATCCATAATAAAACTTGGAAAAAGCCCTTTATTGTATAAAAATCTGAACCATATAGGAACATCCATTATATTGTGTAATATCATATCTCCGTTATATGAATTTTTTCCATTATTCATATAAAGCTTTTCTAGACAATTTAAAAATTCTGTGTCATTGATTTTTGATAAGCTTAACTCAATGTTTTTTTGCGAGACCATAAATTGTTTAATTCCCAGAAGTAAACTAGCATTGGTTTTATGGTCTGCATATACATTAACATTTTCAAGTATTTGATTTAAAATTTTAGATCGTTCTGATAATTTCAATCTACTCAATATTTTTTCCACAGCAGAGTCATATGTTTCATTTCTTAACCATTGCAATAAAGCATTTATGGTTCTTTGTTGATCAGAAATTTTTTGTTTAGTTTTTGCTAGTTTAAGGTGGGCATAAAAGTTTTTAAATGTGCTTTTATTTATGTAATCATTTCCTAATAAAGTAGCTAGCAATGGTAACATTTCTTTTTTTAGACCACCAAAATAATTGAGAAAATTATCTATTTTGTAGATTTTGCAAGAGATATAAGTGTAGCCTTTTTCAGATATAGTGAGTTTCTGATCAAATGAAGTGAATGGAATATATTCGACATCATATATATAAAAATCCGAGTCATTGCTCAAAACAGGGCATGATATTTCTCTAGCAACAATTGATATTTCATCATCTGCCTCAAAATCACATTGTATAAAAGATATTCCCATATCCCTTAAAACATCTTTGAAAACATCTCTCATCATTAAAGGAAAAATTTGTAACAATTTTTGATTGGCAGGACATAATATTGAAGCTGCCTGTTGTTTGGCTATAAGTCTACTATAAACAGACTTTTTCTTTCTTGTTTCATAAGCTCCATCAAACAAAACCAAAGATCGTATATTACAAACATTCAGCATTTCAAAGAACTTAACAACACATTTGTGGTACACATCGTAGTCGCCACCGAATCCAGAATTGCACCTTGAAACATATTTGTACAATTGAGCTGCTAAATTGTTCCCATCGATTACTAAATTGCAATCGTGAAGTTCAAATTCTTCAAAGTACTGATCAGCATTTTTTGCAATAAATGTAGTTAAACCTCTAACACCCATTGTTCGATATTTTTCTTCACTTCACCTAATTAATATAATTCGATCAATTACTATTAGTGTTTTATTGATATGTACTCATAATTTGTCTGAGTTTAATAGTCCAATTAATTTCACTAATTTCTATACAATATTTTTCAAATAGAAAATTTATCAAATATCAAATAATAAAATAAACAATAAAAGTAAATCTACAGATCATAACCTAGCTTCTTTGACATTTTCCAAGCACGTTTTTATTTTCGATGATAGCGCCTAAGCGTTGATGAAAAAACAGATTACACATAAGATTCTATAGATATGAAAAACTGATTACCTGCATTCATCATTATTTTCAAAAATATATGTAGTAAAATTACTCACAATGAAAATGTAATTTGCTTAATTTATATTCTGAAGCTTGCGTCTCCCGTTTTCAAATCCCAAAAAGATAGTGCACGTGCATAATAAATATATTATGCTAAACATAAAATTTAACATTATTTGTTGAATCATTAGTCTGAGACCCCAGAAAATACGACTACGTTTTGTTTTTCAGTTATCAGTTACGGTTACGATAAAATGGCATTTTGAAAAATAGATCACTTTCGTATATTTTCAATATTTTCCAATGAGAAATAATGAGTTATATTAAGATGATGATGGGTTCTAAGAAGGCATTTTAAATTGTGTAAATTATTTAAATACCAAGGTGGTGCTAATAATTTGATATGGCAGCTAGGGAGCCCACATGTTTTCATTAAAATCAATATATTAATGAAATGTTTTAAAATAGTTATTATTTTTTAATCACATTAATTTATAATTATAATAATGTGGTAATCGCATATTTGACATAATGATTTGGCATAATTCTACAATGATTTACATAAGAAAAATAAATCTGATAAGAACGCATACCCAGCATGACGTTTCAACATCTTTATAAAATCAAAGACATTATCATAACCTATACGTGAATTCTACTCCTATTGACAACTAATTAATTGTACAAATGCGATTATTAATATAACTAATAAGTTATACAAATATCGAAAGTTATACAAATAATTCATTATTATGTTTACAAAACAAAAACATATTAACTAATTTTATTCTTAATAATATATTTTAGTCTTTTTTATCATGATTTAAAATGTTACGTTTATTAAGAAAGTATGCACCCAAACAAAATCGTATTTGTTTATCTCTATACCCTGTTCACAAGAAAAAATTCACTGTTAATAATAATGAAGAATTCGTGGAAAAGGTAAAATTAAGCAATTTCAATATTCCGTGTTTTTTGGTACTTCAGGAAGTTAACAAAATATTATTCTAAACACAATTTTTTATTATCTAGGTGATGAACTCCAAAAGAGCCGTCATTGTCAATTTCCATGCAGAGTGGTGTGAGCCATGCAAAATTTTAACACCAAAATTATCAGAACTTTTGCAACCAAATGAAGATGTAGATTTAGCAATTGTTGATGTAGAATCTCATGTAGATTTAGTACATACTTTTGAAGTTAAAGCTGTGCCTGCTGTTGTTGCTGTTAAAGACGGGCATGTCGTTGATAAATTTATAGGATTAGTGGATGCGAATATGATTGAAAATCTTATTAAAAAATTAGAGCAAAATGATCTACAAGATGAAGGCAAATAAATATTTTAAGCAATGCACAATAATTTATATTCAAGCCAAAATCTTGTTTATGAGCTAAGTTAAAAAAATCTTCAAAATCTTGCACATGATGTAAAAATATCTTAAACATGGTTATAATAAGTTACAATTTAAAACTCCCTTTTAGCCCTTAGTTTTTTAAAAAGGCACAATATAAATGAATGTTTCCAAATACTAATTGGGCAATAATAATCGCTAACAATATTAGTGCACATCAATGTTGACTCTTTTACGACACTGCCTAACAATGTTATTGTTTTATATCACAAAATGAATATATTTAAATACAATCTCATTGTTATAATAAAAAAATGTGCGTCATTACTATTTATTTTTGTAATTCAAAAAATCGCTAGTAACTGGATAATTAAAAATGCAATAATTAATTTTACCAAGAATTATTTTGCAAAAAGCATAGTTGTAAAGTATCTATATACGTTTTGATATTTTTGACTGTATTTATATTATACTTCAAATAATTTGTATATAATAAACAATTAATAGTAATAAACATATGTATTTTAATTATGTTTTATTTACATGTAATAATAGGATAATCAATTAAAAAATTCAGTCTAATCATTTGAGCCCATTACGAAACCTAAAAGTCAAATGAAATAATCTTGTACTTGTGCTATTTGCATATTTAGCACGTTTAATCATTTAACTATATTTATCAGCTTAAAAGTCATTTTCATTCCTTATCAATAAATGAATAATAATCGCATTTTTTTATAATTTGATTGGTTTCGTAAAAGGTTCTTGCGTTTAAGGCAACTTTGAGAGCAGGACAACCATTTCAAAAGATTCTGTTTTGTATTATGTATACATATAGTATATTTGTAATATACTATACGTATATACAGTAATATATGATATATATATATATATATATATATATATATATTCAATAAAATTCAAGAACAGAATCATTACATGTTATAAGTCTAATACAAAGAGATGAAATGATAAACCAACTGAAAAATTTTTGATTTTGATATTTTTGTTACTAGTACTGGGTACTAGTTGTATAAAGAATTTATAGGAATAGTCAATAGAGCATCAGATATTCATAATTGAATATAATAAAAAAATTCATACTCATAAGAAAATGCTAAATGCATTATAAATAAAAGCATATATATTAAATTTGGAGAAAAAGAATGTCGATAATATACTTTTCATAAAAATAATATAATAAAAAATAATATAAACAATTTCAAGTCAAGCTATATGTATCTCTTCGAATTATTTATAAATAATTTCATCTCAAATTTATACATATATATGCAAATAGAGCCATTTGTGTACACCATTCATTTAAATCAATAGAATTCTTAAATTCCATTTAATAAAAAGAATATTAATTTGTGTTTTTACAAATGACGCATATATGTACATAATAATTATAATATAGCTTATGTATTGTACATGTATTTTTATACATATGCGCAAACATACTATAATTTACATGATCACAAATATATACAATTCCTAGATTAATTTTTAATTAATTATATAACTTAATTTTAACAAAAACTGTACAAAATCCGTAATAAAATATATTGCATTATGTACATGCATGCTTAAAATATCAACGATATATATATATATATATGTAAATATATATAGATCATGTTGCCATTTTTGTGTGTGCGTAACCACTACTTATCGGTTAACTTCCTGTTTTTCCTGCATATTAAAATAGGTATAAATATCTTTTATGCGGAAGATATATAATTACTGAAAAAATAAATATTTGTATACACCGTCTTACAATTAAATATAGAGAAACTATTTTATAGACAATAAAAGATTCCTATCTAGTCTTAGTTAAATACTTTTCATTCATATTCAATATATATTATAAATATTTTAAATTCAATTATGTGTTAAATAAATATTAAAGATTGAAGCTAATATATAATGATAAGGCTTTGTGACTCTGTACTTGTTTTATATATACAAAAAGGATATATGCAATTAGTTTACAAAATAAGTATTGAATATAAAAATGGAAAAATAATTAAAACGCAGCTAAAAATTTATAATTTCGCGATATTGTTATATATATATATATATATATATATATATATGTATATGTATGTGTGTGTGTGCAGATATGAGCAAGCATTAAATAATTTCAAGATTTCAAAATTTTGGTGATATTTTTAGATTAATTGCTATACAATATAAGTATACAGAAATTTTCTTATATTTTATAAATATGTTTGAAACACAAAATAGAACAGCGACATCACGATACGTTTTGTACAAATATTTTTAATTTGTAAAACAATTCAATTTTCGTACCATAAAAGCAAATAAATAACAAAAATAGTTCAAATTTAGTTGATTATTCGATCTTGAAGTTTTAGTGATTTTCATCTCATATTTTTTACTATTCCATAAATAGTATATTTGAGAAAAAAAACTATACATAAAATAACAAAACCATAATTTGCTTGGAAATATGTTTAAAGTTTTGGCCAACTGAATTAATGTAGTTGCAAGGTTTGGCGTAAAATATAAATGATGCGTTTTAATATAAATTTTAGTTGATACATCAAATTAATTCTATTCCAGTTTTAGCGACAGGAACATAGTGACCATCTATATTTAATAAAACGATGACTTTACCGCAATGCGATCTTTGTGCAGGATCGGCATGACCAGGCCGCCAGTAATGAACGATTGTACCAGTCATATCTTTCTGAGGCACCCATCGGCCCCAAGCAGAACGTCCGCCAGCTTTGCGCATTTCTTCGCAAGGCCAGACAACGTCTATGCGACGACCTAAATCTAAGCAATCGTAAACCTGCAAAACCATTTATTTAATAATATATTTCTATAGTTCTTTAGTGTTTCGATTTTAAAATTTAAAAAATACTGTAAATGTAAGTTAAAAATATTATTTTCAAACCTGTGCAGGATCTACAATTCTTGCCAAAGTATTTATTGAATCTGCATCTTTCTCAAGTTCTTCAGATACATCAATCAAGTGTGTAGGGCTTTGCTCTGGTTCTTGACCGCTACCGTGGTTTTCATCATAATCACCAGAATTCTCAGTTTCTTCACTAGAGGCACTTTGTACTTTATTAGTCACAGTAACATCAATTTCTTTAATCACTCCACTCGGAACAATGTCAACCTGTTCGTCATCTTCTGAAATTTTATATGAGCATTATAAAGATAGTCAAAAATTACATGACATAAATAAAAGAAGTACTATCAATATTAATGCATATACAATCATGTTGTAAACAAGTAACTCTAATTAAAATGCAAACAATTAATAGCAAAATACACAGATAATTGGTTTTGAGAACAATCAATAATATGCAATAATACAACGCTACTAAAAGTATACCTGAAGCTTCACTATCACTATCCTTATCTTCATGGATGTCTTCACTGCAATTTTTCTGCCTATCAGTACCATCATGAGAAACTATGATTTCATTGCCTTGTGAATTGTTTCTAATTTTTCTATTGTGAACAGCAGTTCTTTCTCTATCTATCTTGTTCAACAACGCCGCTACACCAGGTTCGCAATCTCTTGTAACTGCTGCACGAACCACAGCAGGTAATGAAGCCCCAGTTTGGCGTAATATGTTTTCACGACCCGACTGGGAAGCGGCTACTGGTAGTGTACTGCTGCTTCTATTTAAATAAAAAAAAACAAATTTGTAACATACAATATGAGTTTAAGATTTTACTTAACTTATTAAACCAATTTAATCAATAATAGCTTCATTATTTGAGTTTTCAAATACCTATTTCCATTGTGTTTTAAAAGCTGCACATTATTATTAAAATTATTATTATTAATAAAACTTTTTACTTGCCTTGGTTCTAGACGCTGTCTGGCAAAAATGCTATCATAGAATCCATTTAAAGCTTCCCTAATAACTGCACCAGAATTTTCAGCACTGTTACTAGAAGTATTTGTTCCCAATCCTGACACATTTCCTCCTTCGTGTCCAGAAGCATTATTCGAGAATTCATTCCCAGAAGCGATATTTCCTCCTGATCGTTCTAATACGCTCAAGAATTCAGATATCCGACCTGCTACATGATAGGCGTATTCTAGATCGGCTTTGTTAAGTTTGCTTACATTCACGCTTTCGTGTTCAATCCAGTCCGAAACATATTTAAAACGATCCTGTATGAAGAGATAATAATAGAATATAATTTATATATGTATATATATATATATATATATATATATATATATATAATGAATACATTTAAATTAAAATAAAAAATTAAGGAGCCTGCAGAGAGTACCATAACATTTTCATTTGCCAGAAAAAGAAACTATTTTGTTTATACATCAAATGTGTACGGACAGTGCTCAAACCATGAAAGCATTCAGATTATATTTAATAGTTTTCCTGGTCAAGTTCATTATCAATTTTTAAGATTTCACTTATCATAGGCAGAAATTTTAAATAATATGTGAAAATATCCTCAATACCAAAGACCTCTGCTTCACTTAAGTATAATATTCAGGAGTGAGAACAGAGGTAAAAATTAATACTGCGGTATAACTTAGGATCTATTTAGATAGTTATTACCATAATAAAAGAAATCTAGTTTCAACATGATAATAACACAATATCACTTACACTAGTTTTTTCCTTATCAATTGCATCAGAATCTGTATTACCACTATTGTCTCCTTCTAGTGATGCTCCTCTTTGATCTTTATTTTCAGTTCTTGAGAAGTTTGTGCTGTTATTATTGAGTCCAATATTTTCTTTCTGATCAGTTCCGCTCATAGAACTTTTGTTATTAAGAAAACCGGCTAGCAATGTAGAACCAGATGGCTTATTTGTTACAGATGCCATAGTTTGTGAAGATCCATAAGGCGATAATGGAATACCTATGAAATACATTATATGCAATATTCAGTCTTTTCAGAATTAGATTATTTTGTTATATAATTAACTTCCCGAAGGAGAAGTTTATGTTTTCATCAAAAAATCCGAATCGCTAATTTTATGTTTTCTCGACGTTTCGAGCCATTCTGAATCGAATGAGACCAAATTTGGAAAAAGTATGTGTGTGTGTGTGTGTGTGTGTGTGTGTGTGTGTGTATGTGTGTGTGTGTGTGTGAACAGATTTTTTGCCGTAAATCGACGTTTTCTCCAAAACGGTTGGACCGATTTCAAAAATTTAAAAGCCATTTGATGTATCTCGATGAGGACTATCGTCTCTGAGTTTTGTGCGGCGATCGGTCGGGCCGTTTCTTTGTAAATTGCAGAAAAGTGAAAAATTTTTCGTCCACGTTTTAGCCCGCAATTCTGAATCGATTCTGAAAATTCAAAAACCGTTCGATAGATATTGGTTGGGAATCGTGCTGATTAGTTTTTGGTAAAGATCGGCCGGGCCGTTTTCTTGTAATAAAGTTTAAAAAAAAAATTTTTGACGATTTTTATGATTATTTTTTTGACGATAGATACCATAGTTTTCTAGGTCATACTAAAATATTACGGCCCTACGACAACTGGTTCAGCTTTAAAAATTCGTCAAAGTTTGCAAAAATCAGTATGGTCTTTTTGGCATTTGTCAAAATTAGACTTTTGATCGACGTTTTCTTAAAAACGCCTGAACCGATTTTGGAAATTTAAAAGCCATTTGATGTATTTCGGTGAGGACTATCGTTTGTCAGTTTTGTGCAACGATCTGCCAAGCCGTTTCTTTGTAATTTGAAAAAAAGTGTTGAACTTTTTGTCCACATTTAAGCTCATCCTACCGAACCGATTTTAAAAAATCAAAAACTGTTCGAAAGATATTAGTTGGGAATGATGCTTATTAATTTTAGGTGAAAATCTACCGAGCCGTTTTCTTGTAATTAACTGTTGAAAAAAAGTGTTAAATTTTTGTTCACATTTAAGCTCATCCTACCGAACCGATTTTAAAAAATCAAAAACTGTTCGAAAGATATCATTTGGGAATGATGCTGATTAATTTTAGGTAAAAATCTACCGAGCCGTTTTCTTGTAATTAAATGTTGAAAAAAAGTGTTAAATTTTCGTCCACATTTAAGCTCATCCTACCGAACCGATTTTGAAAAATCAAAAACTGTTCGAAAGATATCATTTGGGAATGATGCTGATTAATTTTAAGTGAAAATCTACCGAGCCGTTTTCTTGTAATTAACTGTTGAAAAAAAGTGTTAAGTTTTCGTTCACATTTAAGCCCATCCTACCGAACCGATTTTGAAAAATCAAAAACTGTTCGAAAGATATCATTTGGGAATGATGCTGATTAATTTTAGGTGAAAATCTACCGAGCCGTTTTCTTGTAATTAACTGTTGAAAAAAAGTGTTAAATTTTCGTCCACATTTAAGCTCATCCTACCGAACCGATTTTGAAAAATCAAAAACTGTTCGAAAGATATCATTTGGGAATGATGCTGATTAATTTTAGGTGAAAATCTACCGAGCCGTTTTCTTGTAATTAACTGTTGAAAAAAAGTGTTAAATTTTCGTCCACATTTAAGCTCATCCTACCGAACCGATTTTGAAAAATCAAAAACTGTTCGAAAGATATCATTTGGGAATGATGCTGATTAATTTTAGGTGAAAATCTACCGAGCCGTTTTCTTGTAATTAACTGTTGAAAAAAAGTGTTAAATTTTCGTCCACATTTAAGCTCATCCTACCGAACCGATTTTGAAAAATCAAAAACTGTTCGAAAGATATCATTTGGGAATGATGCTGATTAATTTTAGGTGAAAATCTACCGAGCCGTTTTCTTGTAATTAACTGTTGAAAAAAAGTGTTAAATTTTCGTCCACATTTAAGCTCATCCTACCGAACCGATTTTGAAAAATCAAAAACTGTTCGAAAGATATCATTTGGGAATGATGCTGATTAATTTTAGGTGAAAATCTACCGAGCCGTTTTCTTGTAATTAACTGTTGAAAAAAAGTGTTAAATTTTCGTCCACATTTAAGCTCATCCTACCGAACCGATTTTGAAAAATCAAAAACTGTTCGAAAGATATCATTTGGGAATGATGCTGATTAATTTTAGGTGAAAATCTACCGAGCCGTTTTCTTGTAATTAACTGTTGAAAAAAAGTGTTAAATTTTCGTCCACATTTAAGCTAATCCTACCGAACCGATTTGGAAAAATTAAAAACTGTTCGAAAGATATCATTTGGGAATGATGCTGATTAATTTTAGGTGAAAATCTACCGAGCCGTTTTCTTGTAATTAACTGTTGAAAAAAAGTGTTAAATTTTCGTCCACATTTAAGCTCATCCTACCGAACCGATTTTGAAAAATCAAAAACTGTTCGAAAGATATCATTTGGGAATGATGCTGATTAATTTTAGGTGAAAATCTACCGAGCCGTTTTCTTGTAATTAATTGTTGAAAAAAAAATTTAAGCCGATTTTCATGGAAATTTTTTTGGCGATATACATCATGGTCTTATAGAACTTACTGTAATATTACGGCCTAACGACAAGTAGTTTAATTTTAAAAATTCGTCAAAGTTTGCTAAAATTATTATCGTTTTTTTTTAAAGTAGGATTAATGAAGTATATTATTTACACATTTTTTTTGATTAACTCGATTATTTACACATTTCGGGAAGTTCATGTAACTTGCCTCAAGGCTAAATACCAAACCAACTAGTTTTTATCATCATTGAGTCGACTCAATGTGGTATAAAATTAGGTATTGTATCCCTTAAAGGCATGTAAATATCTCATTGAAAATTACCAATATTTCCGCCAACGGGTGTAGTTTGCAAAGCTCCTTGCTGTTGTGCAGCAGGCGTTAATGTATTAGCTAATGTTGCGGTGCCAGTGAGAGTGTTGGCTCGTTCGGTACAGCTGCTTCCTAAAACGGACTCGCCCAAATTTATTTGCTCGCCGCTACTACAGCCTTGCCGACATCTTGTTCGAATTCTGAATTCGATATTATTTGTAAATTAAATACAATTGATTATCGCTTTTCAGAGCATTATACTATCATACATAAAATATATAAATATAATAATGAGAACACAACGTTTTATCCAAGTAAAATCATAATACACATTTCTGATAAACTACCTCATCATACATAAGGCAATTATCATTTTATAAAATTTACCTTCTCCACAAAGAAACAACTGTTTGTTTAAGTGTAGAAACTGTAAACGGTCCTCCTACAACACTTGTTATACCTTCATGAGTATCCACATAGGACGTAGTTAGAGGCGACACATATATCGGGTAGCCTGAAATTATTAATTGATTAATTATTAAAGACATCAAGATTGTTCGAATTCCTAAAGTACCAAATATCACAAGTCTGTGAAAAAAAGAACTATGTGTATGTAGTATTATGTCTTGAGGAAAGTTGGTTGAACTTTCCGATATTTGTAAATAATCGACATGAGCAGTTAGAATTGAAATTATTGAATTTTCAAATTGTAACAATAAAATTAACTGTTCATTTCGAAAATAAATTTTTCACTTTTTATTAAAAACTTGTCAATGCAATTTGCAGTTGATATTCTACTCAATATACACCCTGCAAAAGTTTGAACTCACTTGGGATTTTTTTTCATTACTTTATTTATCTTTCTCCCAGACAGTTTAATATAAGTGTTGATATAGAAAATCATTTTAAGAATGATTATTGAGCGTTTCCTTTAAATTCTCATGTAATTTTTGAAATATTGTAAAATGTTCAATGTTACAAATTATCACTTTAATTACATTAACTATTTTTTTGTACTCAAATTAACTTTCACTCGATGCATCATTTAAATCATCAACAACATAAAATTTTCATATTACTGAAAAAAATTCAAAAATATCACATTTAAATGTTTTTAACTCGTAAATTAAATGTAATTCTTAACGAATCTGTTACATTAAACTGAATGATAAATGAATGATAGCAATTTTCCTAAGTGAGCGCTTAACTTCCTTCAATTTGGGTCTGAAACAATTCACAATGGCGGCGAGAAACCAAAATTAAAATAATCTCAACTTCTCCTGCAAAGGGTTAAGGTTAATAACTAGTAATTTAGTATTGTTCTTTTTTTACATAGATTTAGCTTAATAAATTGAGTTTCCGGTGGACTTGATTCTTGATGCAAAATTATGATCTCACCTATTGGCTGATCACATGAACTATTAATGATATTCCTGAGGGCCTGCTTAGCATTCTGAATGCTCCCTCTTTCTGGATTTCTATTACGCAAATAGACTAATTCTTGCTGTTGTCCAGCCCATAAACCGCGCACGCATTCGCGGTTTAGTTTTATTACTCGAAAAGATAAATGACGTTTAAGAAGCCGGATAACTCGATACTCATCTGCTCCATCATCCATAACATGCCTGAAAAAAAGAAATCAATGTAGAAAATTTACCTACTATTTAAAATTATTATTCTATACATAATTAATTATTTTGTAACATATTCTTATAAATTATTATTTGTTCAATTATATTACCTTAAAGCAAGTAAATTCGGAGTTCCACTCAACACTGCAGCCCGCCAGGCGGGATCAGCCTCATGTGATATCACCAGTCCTCCGCATTGTGCTGAACATGTGCCATCGCAAGCATTTTCTTGATCCAATGTTTCACTCAAACTCGTCGATTGGCGGTTATCTTCTGATCTTCTATTTCTAGAAACTCTGGACTGATGCTGCCGGAAACTTTGATGAGAATATGACCTAGAACGCCTCTGAGAAGATGCCGGTTGAAGTTTTGATGAAAGTTCAGATTGAGAATCTTCATCGCCGCAATTCTGTTAATGAAAGTAAAAGGAATAAAGTTGAATTTAAAGGTGGAGTATCAATGGCAAAGATACTGTAAGACTATAATAATAATAATATTAAGACATAAGACTCTAATAATAATAATATTAATTAATTGCATCTTTAAAATTTATGTATTTAGCATGCTTTTTAGTGAAAATTTCTAATTAAACATGGGGTTATATAATAACAAATAGTTGAGACAGGAAATTTATAGACAATCAAAATTCCATATACATTATTTCACTCTGATGATAAACTTGTCTCCATTACATTTCAGTATTGACTAATATTATAACGTTTTTTAAAATGAATTTAGAAAAAGTTAATTGTATTATTTACTGTATTATGTAGTATTCATAACAAATGGCTGATACAAGAAATATATATATATATATATATATATATATATATTTTTGAATAGTCTTGAATTTGATGTTGATATATATGTTTAATTTGAGTTTAATATTCGGGCGTAACATCAATAAAAATAATTATTTTTATTGATGTTACGCCCGAATATTAAACTCAAATTAAACATATATATATATATATATATATATATATATATATATAGACTTTTGAAAAGAAAATTATCAAATACCTGAAAATGGCGTTGATTGGAAGACGTATTTCCTGTAATGAGATCCTCTTCGCGCCGAGCGCGCGCTTGCTCGGCTCGCCTGGTGCATACGCCACTCATAGAACCAAATAAAATAGCAGGATCTTCATACTCGTCCGGCGATAGAAAATGATCCTGCAACAATTCATATTTATGAATCACAAAATATCATTCTGAAGTCTATAAATATTGTAATATTAATTGACAAGAAGTTTTTTTTTATATGTACACTTTTAATATTATAATAAATTTATCAGAAATAAACTGTAATTTACTATAGAAATAATTATATACCTGATGCAATTTCAATGCCATTCTTACTGCGGGCGCCACAACAGTATGTAACAGGTCCATATCAGCAAAAACCCATTCATCTCTTGGGCTGGTAACTCGAAAATCACCCTTGAATAACGCATGTAGCCCATGTAAAAAAAATTCAACGGAACTCACGGAATGATGGGCCACCGCACCCAAAGCTCTTCGTCCAAGAATGGACAGACCCAATACTAAAGATACAAGAGGGGAAGATCGAGATGCATCTAGGTTTGAACTACGACGAGACTGTATAAATAATATGCATAAATTAAGTTGCAAGTTTTATACAATAAGAAATAGTTGAAGTTAAAAGTAAGTAGTTAAAAAATGGATATAATATGCAGATAAAACAGGAAAACCCTTAGCTGTTTGCTAAGTATTATCCTGTAGATTTCAGACCTTCATAAAGACTATTTATAAAGTAAACTCACTGCACAATATTGTATCCAGTCCATGTAAACATTGCAAAAACTTCCTCTAGTTATACCCGAAGCACGAAAATCATAATCTTCATCTAGATTGTGATTGAAAACTGGATCAACATCCACATATTTACTATTATTCCAAGTGGTTTCCAATGATTTCTGTACATGTGATTTTGAAGATAACCAAGATTGAAGTTTCTCGGAAATTGTTGTATAGTATATAATACTCTGAAAAGTTAAATTAGAATTTAGAAACTTTTATATTAGAATTAAAACAAAAATTTAAAAATATATAAATAATATTGGAAATAACAACTTATATGTTAAAACAGATTTTTTTTTAATTTGATTTGAAAATATTAATATTAATTTGCAAATATAATTTGAAATAAGGTCATATCTTGAAAGATTTAATATGACATTATTGTTTGTCATTATTTATGAAAAGTTAAATGCAATAACTATACACGACCAAATTATTTTATATTGCTTTATTAATGGCATTAGTATGATAAAATAATACCTTGACATAATATGTTATGAGAACTTTTCGAAACTCAAATACTTGCAGAGTTGTAATAGCCGAATTATCTGATATTGAATAGCCCTCTAAAACATAGTGTGAAGATGCCACATGCCAAGCAAGCCAGCGCACAAAGAACATAGCATTTAATGATAGCATGTGGGGTAAGTGGCCAGGCTGAAAGCAACAGCAACCTAGAAAAAATACATAAACAATTATTTACTTACATCACACAAATTTTTAATGACAATTATAAAAACGTGTATATAAAATTATATAATTTTATGCATTACCATCGTTATCTTCAACACCCTCTGATATGGCTTCTACCTCTCTTTGTTGACAATACGTCCCTCTAAACTCAAGACCTCTCACTTGAAAAGTACAGAGACCATTTCCTAGTTCTATTATGTGCACAAGACAATTAAGATAATCTGATGCTAAAACTGTAATAATATTATAGATATTATTTTGAATTGTAGAATAACACTATTTGATAATAATAAAAGATATATATTCATATCTCACCAAAACAATCTCCCTGAGATACTGGTCCCCATTTTCCTAGTTCGAGATCTCCTGCCAAAGAATGTTGAAGTGATCGAGTTAAATGCTCATAAAAAATGCTATTTAAATTATTATCATCCGAGACTACAAGATCTCTTTCTAAATGTGAAGCTAGTCTAGTATTTGAATGATCTGCTCGTCTTGTATTGTAGTCACGTTCCCAAAATTTCATCGGCCGTACATATGATGTTATAAAAATTGCACTTCCTACATAAAAAGTAAAAATGTAAGAGATATAACAAAACTATTACAATAATAATATATAATATTCAATATAAAATATGCTTTAGTGCACAATATTGAATATAATCTAAAACAATTTGAAATAATAAAATATTACCTAAAAATGGACTAAGAGGAGCTGAAAGCACAGCACTGATGCCTGCCTGCAGGAAAAGCATTGCTGAATGTGGCACACTGAAGGGTTGAGCAAAAGCATGGAAAGCTGATCCCCAAGTAATTTGCCATGGAGCTATATATGTTACCACAAACTGAAACTATAGAAAATATGAAATGAATGATATGCTTTTTTAACAAACCTATATCATTTTATCATTATCAATTTACCTTAAGTAATAATTCACTAAGTTTTCTGTATCCGATGGTCGCCAAAGGCAAGTCAATAAGAAATGTTTCACTACATGACTTACAATCAAATGAAAAAAACAATTCAGCAAAAATAAGAATTTTGAATTGTATTGCAGGATCAGAATAGCATGATCGAAGAACTGTAAGTAATGATAAATACATAAATATTAATTTTGAATTTCATTATATATTAAGGGGGGCGATACATGTAATCGCCTTAATTTTTATCATTTTTTGAGGACTTTTTAAACTGGGAAGGAATGATTGAATCTTTTTGAACTTTTTTAGGGTTATTTATTATATATTAGAATACACAAAAAAAATTTTTTTTTAATTTTTTTTTTTTAATTTTTTTTTTTAAATGGCTGCCGTAAAAATAAATCTGCCAAGACCCTCTCGGAAAACGCCATCAATTTGCGGGCGTTCTCACTTTTCGTACGGTGATCTGAATTCAAAAAAATTAGTTTGTACGTGTTCATAAAACATATATCTTCTAGTTAAACCAAAAAAAAAATTAAAAAAGTCACAAAATCGTAAATTGGCACACCTTAGAAAAAAAAGTTCGATTTTTCACCTTTTTTTCAATGGTTTTTTTTTGGTAAAAGGGTTAATTTTTGAAATTTTTTTTGGAATGTTTGAGGTTTAACTAGAAGCTATTACTGTAAAGTAGATGTGTGCAAAATTTCATTGGAATCGGTTGAGAACTTTTTGAGTTATCCCGCCCGCAAATTTCAATAATGTCGTTTTGAGAAAAACGCGTTTATAGTTTTGACACAGAAACAGATAAGAGTACAATAGCACTCAAGCGTCGAGTTGAGGCCTGGCACTTAAATGAGTTTTTATTGTATAAATAATGATAATTTTGTTTTGAATATTTACAGGCATATTTTTGAGATGTTATTGTAACGATTTATGAAAAAAAAAAAAATCGATTTTTTTTTCTTGTTACATGTATCGCCCCCCTTAAATTATAATAAGCATATGCATAATCTTAACAAGATTAGTATATCAAACAGATTTTTTAAATTAGAGAAAAAATTCTCACATTTTAAACCGCATATCACAACTAAAAACGTTCCCAACACAGGACCAAACTTATCAGCAATTTTTAACGAGTCTGCAGTCAATGTCGCTAATGCAAGCAGCGGCAGCAGAGCGCATTTTTCCCGCTGTAGCTAGTAGCGCCGCCACACGTTCGAACCATGGAACATTCAAAGCGACCCGCAAATCCCTCCCATGAGGCAGAGTACTGTGATTTATTACTGGTGAGGTACGTAATATAGGATGAGATGCACATAACCAGGGCAGATGTGACCGAAGCTGCGGTACCAGATAATGTAAGATAAAACCAACACAACCAGCAGTTATTCTTAACACCTGCAAAAGCAAAATTTTTTTGTGATTGATATGGATTCAGAAAAAAATTGTTTTCTTGTTCAAAAATAACAACACATCTTTTTGATTTTTTTTTCAAGAGATATTTCTGCTAAACATTTTGTTCTACATTTATTAAATAAATTTTGTATTTTTGTAACAAAAATACTGCTTTTTTATCTCAGATCATGATCAGTTGAGAAGTATCATTAATAGATTGGGGTGGTTGATTGATTAATTTTATATTAAAAATATACTTGCTCTATTAAGATCAGGCTGAAGAACAGTGAATACTGTACTAGAATGTAAGGCCAGCACAGCAACAGCTATCAAAGGGCAAATTAAAAGATCATTTCTTAATCTTGCTGTTACTGTAGCTAAAAGTTTTCCTGGTAATGGATCCGATTGATCAGAATTACCAACAGCACCAGGACCATGAGATTTTGTACTAGGATCAAGTGTGTGAGTATTTCCAGATTTTTGGCACGTTTTAGATAAATCTGCAAATTATTAGATAATTAATTCATTATCCATGTTACTAATAAAGATAAAAACCTAATATAAAACATGTAATATAAAACTAGATTTCTTGATAAAAAAAATATTATTAGAAATAATTAACCTATAAAGTTGCTATCCTGTCCTGAACACCTTCTCGTTTCTGTTTCGGCTGAACTTTCTCCACATGTCGTACTTTCCGAACTTTCGCGTCTCTCATCTGTTGTGCTAACTTTCTTTTCTGCCGCCGCTATAACGGGCGTGTAAAAGAACTCATTTGGCAATACATGCCTTTTAATCAAAACCCACAGTTGGGCATAATCACTTGCACATCTGCTCAAATGATATGATAAAGAAACCAGTAATGCACAGAATATTGAGAACAAGATATGTTGAGTGCTTCCTGCTTCTATCAAACCAGCATAAGCAGGTCCCACTAAAAGGAGAACCACGAATATGGATCTTAAGACACCAAAAAATGCTGCTAATGTGCTGCAAGTTGCATTTCCACCAAATATATGCATATCAGTTTGTTCTAATGTGTAAGCAGCAAATGTGTTGATTTGAGGAAATAAACCAAGACTAAATGCAATTGGAAACAATAGTATAAATGTGCAAAGGCAGTCTCTAGTGTTGCGAAGTACGGAGTCTGTATTCACAGCAAATGTGTAAATAGTGAGGTTTGTTGTTGGAGAAGAAGATTGCATAATCTGGAAAATAAATGTAAAGTCAAATAATCATCTATAATATTGGTTAATTTTATTATTGAAGACAGATATAAAGTCATGCTGTACATCAAAATCATGTATTTCTAAATCATGTATTAACACTATCACTTTTTAAAGATAAAATTATGAAAATGAAGTTATATTTCATTGCACAATATTACTCTTTCATGGCATATCATAACAAATAAAATCATTTGACATTTGATATTTAAGTTTATTATTAAAAAATTATAGGATAACATTTAAAAATCTTATATATATACCTATAGAAAATACAAATTAAAGGTATTGAAACTTACCCTCTCTTCGAGCCATTTATTCGTCACAAGTACAATTGTAGTGCACAAACATAGATACACAGGCCTAGAATAAGCAGCAGCCTTGTTGAAACCATGTACAGGTGAAGCAGCATCTGGTTGAACACTCTTCAGCAAAGAGTACTGAGCTCCAGCTAAAGTCAAACAAAATGCCAGAGCACCGGCGTCACAATACAATCCTGCTTGCAAAACAAGCGACCCCAAAATAGAACACAATGTGGCAAGAACTACTGAAAGAATAACCTAAAAAATACATTAATATATCCATCGAATAGTCAAAGATTGTTTATTGGTTAACAATGAAGCAAATCTGGTTTTCTGTAAAGTATAAAGTATGCCAAACCTCATATATACTGCTATCTCTGTCAAATAAAGCCAATAATAATAGACGATCCATTGTTATTTGCAAAGTTGGACCATGTTTCCATAAATGCAACTTATAACGTTTTTTCTGCTGCTGTTGCAGTTGTTGTTGCTCTAGTTGCTGTTGCTGTTTTATAACAGCAGCTGCTGCACTTTCTACATCTTCTCTAAATCTGAGCAAAACATTATCACAATAAATATATATTTAATATACTTTTTAGCAAATGTAATGTTGTACGCATTTCATATTTTTCCAAAGAAACAAATGTCAGTCAACTCGAAAAAATTAACATATTGAAAATTTTATTTGTGAAAGTGAAAATAAAAAAACTAATATTTACATATTAATACTATTAAAATTTTTATATTAGAAAACGCTGGAATAAATACCTAAATCTTGCAGCAACAGGAGCAAATCCACCCTCTAATCCTAAACTACTTAAAGGTCCAGTGCTCCCTACTATACTGGTCCTTGTAATACCAGACCCAATACGAATTCCAGGAGCGGTAAATCTATCAGATACGTCATATAAAGGTGATGAGCCACCATTGTTAGTTAGGCTTGTCATGTCGTTGTTCAAAGATGCTGATCCTTCACCTGATGCAATAAGCGCGGAAGTTATCATAGAAGCAGCATCTTGACTGGCATTTCTTCTATTGGAATGATGACTTTGTTGTTGCAGTGACGTTGATGCTAAAAACAAAATCAAGAATGTGAGCAAAATATGTGCTAATGTGCATTGTTACAGTCATCTTTCCGTAAGACCGTCGCTTAATAAAAGATATTTATTATAATTCAATTCATTATTATTGTTTAGAACTTACTTTGAGAAGGACTAGAAGTTTTACTAAATGTATATGATCTCCATTTGCCATATTCATCCATAAAACAGTGAATAGCACCTTCAGAAGTATCATCAAAAGATGTAGCAAAATGCATATTATCTCTTTGATGTAAAGCCTTCGAGATGCATACCTAATGTGGATAAAAATATAGTTATATGCAGAATTAAAATATGCATTTTATTGCAACTATTAACAAATATAATGTGTCCAGCATTATTTCAATCTTTGGGATAATTCTAATATTAATATTGTTATTAAGAGTCTACATCTTGTAAGTTTAATTGAGAATAAATCAAACTTGTATATAAATCTATGAAAATTTTTTTTATTTTGGTTACAAGAACTTTCAACATTATAAACTTCTTTGAATTTACAAAATAATAATTACACACTAAAAATTAATTCACTACTTGCCTCCACTTTTCTAGCAGGATCCGAACTGCCCTCCACACCTGCTTCTTCAGGTGTGGATGTTGCCATTACCTTTATTGCACTTGTTGCTTGTGGTGGATTTCGCACCCTCGGTGTTCGTGTACTACGTTTTAACTTTCTTACTCTGTTCCTAGCATTTCGATCCATGGCATTTAAACGTGGCCTCATATAACCACTACTACTTGCAACACCCTCATTAGTAGTATCCACATCATCTAAGATTAGTTTAAATTTTATATATATATATATATATATATATATATATATAAACCAATTCATTATAATAACGGTAAAATGATAAATTATACCATTGTCATCATTAGGAGAAGAAGCACTTTGCAATGTTCCACAGTCCTCTTTATTATTATCAGCTTTTTCAATTGATGGTGTCTGTTGAGAACCAGAGACTGAACTCATCATTGTACCAGATGAAATTGGAGATGATGAAGATATTGCAAATAATCTCCTGGAATTTCATAGAAAGAATTATAAACATTCATAAATAGTTGAAACTAAATTAAAATGTAATATAAAAAAGTTGTAATATAAATAGTTGTGAATCTGTTGATCAATTATTCTATAAAGACTAATTTACATATAAAGCCTCACGAGAACATGAAACATTTCATTGAACATGATATATAATTTTTTTTTACAAGAAACAAACTTCAATCTATAACTATCAGATATTTACAAACTTACTGTAATAAGTACCTTCTAAAACGAGTTTCTGCATCTCCAGCTTGAGTATTAGTTCTGGTAGCTTTTGGTATAGCTCCTAAATTTTTCGGCAATTTCTGAATACATCCATCACTTGCTCCTGCAGTGTCAGCAATCTATAAAAAGTTGTATACCATGATAAATCAATTGAAACCACTTTTCAAAATCAATCTATTTTATAAGCAAAATGAAATAAACATATTTCATACTGGGGTTTAATATGATTAAAAATTAAGGTAATAAAAATATAATAAAGTGAATGTAATGAAGTAATATAACTTTTTTAAGAGATGGCTATATTTAACTTACTCCTTTAACACTACTAGATTCACTTTCACTATGAAAGAGTAATTCAAGTCCACTGGGTTCTCTATTTGGTAACAAATCTTTCGAACTAACTGCACGTTCAGTTTGATTTTTGGAACTATATTTGACATTCAAATCCGCAGTGCTAGCAGATGTTTTTGCTTTGCAACTGCTTTGCGATTTGCCACTAACATTTTTGCTTAGAATTTGATGATGATCTGTTTTAGTTCGATCTAGGAGTGGAGATTGAGAACCATTATTTTCTGTATCTGAATCATCACTTTGAGCACCTGAATTTGAAGAGTAAGTAAATCTATTGTTAAAATTAACAGTAATAAAAAAAAAAAAAAAAAAATATATATATATATATATATATATATATATTAGTTTTTCAGAGTAAAGCTTTAATCTACAAACTTAATTAACAAACCTTTAATTGATACATCCGAGTCTGTGTCTGATCCCACTCTGCTAAATCCACTGTCTGTGTCATCAGAAACATCATCATTTGAACGTCTCAAAGTTTCTTCAACCTGCTTCTCGTCTACAGTCTCAGCAATTGGATAAACATTATCAACCACTGTTGCTAACAAAAAATATATATGAAGAGTGCAAACATTTATTTATTTTTAAATTTGTCAGGAAACAAAATTATATATACTATATTAAGAGTTAATAACGTTTTAAAATGTTAAGTTCTTATTTATTTTCGTTATTTAATTAATAATAATTAATATAGACTCAAAATGTAATCATTTTTTAATCTAAATTTAAAACAATTGTATTTAATATTACTGAAAATAATTAAACTAAATAAATAAGTAGTTAAACGTTGAAATATTAAATTATTATTCATTATTATAATAAATTATTCTGATTAAATTAAGAAATCTATTTATCACTGTATGTGACATAAGGTAATAAAGTTTATTTACAACAATAAAAGCAACAATAAAACATATTTCTTGGTTATGCTATATAAACATTTCTCTATTTGATATATTAAAAACTCACTAAAATTCTGTTGACTACTATCCCTCAGCAAAGCAAGCAGATACCCATTATCATTTCTCACTAACTTCTTACTCGGTGGCGGATTTTGCCCAACAAGTAGAGCTTCAGCACTATTTGGATGTACTGCCAAGTTACTGATAGAACTGGACGCAGGGCAAGTTTCCAATGCTGCACTTTTAATTCTCCGAACCGCGTTTATTGGCCCTCTTTGTTGGTTATTATTTAAATTGGCACTCCTTTGAGATGAATTGTGATTACTCGCTTGATGACGTGTGGACCTATGGTTTCCAGATGTAACGTTCGAATGGCGTCTACGGGATAATTGGACGGAAGTAGAAGGAGCAAGTTGAAGAGATGATTTTGTGCAATATTCTGAAAATATTGTTCGTTATTTCAGAGAACTTTCATACATTTCATATAGTTGTATAATCTATAATATATCTAGATACTATAAATTTATAGATAGATAATTTTGTGAATAGATACACATATACACATACTGATTCCAAATTTGGTCTAATTCCATTTAGAATGACTTGAAACGTCGAAAAAACAAAAAATAAGCAAATCGAATTTTAATGCGAAAATATAGGCTTCTCCCTCGGAAAGTTAATAATACATAGCCAATTAAATAAAATAATAGTATCCATGCCAATACCTAAATAAGGTAAACTGGCTAAACTTTGCAATCTGCTGTGATTTAAAGCCCAATTAATGTTGAACTCTGAAGTTGCATCCGCTGGTGGTGACTCTAAACTCGTTCTGCTCGCACAAACTCTACCAACTTGACCAGTTTCTGTCACTGAAGAAATCGAAGCTGCAGTTGGAGGCTGAGTAGAGGCTCGTCTTTGTTGTTGCTGTTGATGTCGTTGATGCTTCTGATGCCGCTGAACTGTTGATGAATTTATTTCTGAAGTGGAGACTTGTCCCACATCAGTCGAGTCCCCACGATTCAAATGTAATCCGCCTTCGCTGGATTCGGAACTGTTTTTGCGGTGAACATCGACTTTTAAATCTAACAAAGATAAAAGCATTGGATAAAATAAAATATTATTTGTATGCTAAATAATGTGAATAGTCAAATATTTTTGATTGCTTTAATTTAAACAAGTTTCATTATGCTTGTAGAATGTGCAATTAGTAAAAATATAAGATTGATGATTGTTGATTGTTATATTAGTTTAGTTAGATTATATTCATTCAAAACTGCCGTCAATTGCATCTTTTTCCTTAATTTAACAATAAATTAATATTTGCTAAAACTTTACCTATGGTTCCAGCAAGATTATTCTCTAAAGATCCCTGGCTATCTGCATTACTGTTATCACTTCTTGGTTCAATAAATGAATTTCGTGAAGAACATCCTACCGGTGGTGTTACTCCCACAGCGGCCCTAGAGCCCAATTCTTGCAATTCAATTCCTTCATCTTCACTATAAATTTTTTTTATATTAAATCATTACTTTAAAAAAAAAAACACAATTTTTGCAAACCAGAAATGCATCGATTTAACAAAAATAAATGTATTTTAAAATGTTACACATAGCTATTCCTTGTGAAGTTTTAAAGATATTTTGTTAATTAAAATATTGTTGATTTTTTTTGGCTCAATATTTATTCATTGTTTCATTGTTTTGTTCATTAAAAAAATATTGATATTTTTTGTTCATTATTTAAAAGTCTAATAAATTTATACTCTATCAAAGTATAGAAAAAAGTTGAATACTTATATATCTACTGAATATTATGTAAATGATTATTCACTTACTTACGAATAACCTCTACATTAGATTTTTGTCCAGCAGTTGGAAAGCCCTGAGCAGTGTCATACATGCGATGCAAAGTAAAATTGATCGTTTTCAGGGTGATGAATATAATTGCCACAAAACAACAATAAAGAATCCATGTTACTACTGAGTTGGAAAAATACTGTAAAAAAAATCATTTAAGATTAAGATTTTTACTTTACTTTTTACAATCCTTTATAAGTTCAACCAAATTATTTTGATAGTTAGAACTCAGAATGTACTTGATTTAAATAAACGAAATTTAGTTATCAAAAAGTGCTTTTCATTATCAACTTTTCTTAATTCTCAGGGTGCCAAATTTAAATAGATATTTAAATAAATAAAAAACTCGTCAATAGTTTCTCTCTTATATAAAAAACATGAGACAAGAATTATTTTTTATCATTATTGAATAAGTCACATCCAAGATGTTTAATTAATCATTGCTCTAACTATTTTTATTTGAATACAATTCACATAATTTGAACAAGTTTTGTTGTTTTATCATACATCATACTAATTTTTTTTCAAAAGTACATTATGATTTTGAATATATATTCACTAACAAGAGTAAAGTAGTATAGTTAAAATAAAAAATGATTATAAAATATATATGTCACAGGTTTCTAATATATTTATTATGTTATACGCTTTAGTTAAGGCAGCAAAAAAATAATCGATACCATTTGAATTTCAAATTGTATTACTAAATATTATTAATTCAAATGTTCATTTGAAATGCCATTCTCTCAAAAATCCAATATAGCAAAGAATAAGAGAAATATTTAGGAATATTATTTTAGATATTTAGATGAAATGACATAAAAAATGAAAAAACTATTGAATGTGAGGTTCAAAGAACAAATTATCGCTTAGTTGAATGATAGTAAAAAAAGTTGCTTGGACAAACATACTTCTTGCTCCAATTGTTTAAAGTTAAGGTATATTTAATTATTTATTTATTTAAATATATAGCCCACAGATTTCTCCAAGAGGACTCAAAAATATAATTATTTTACGTAATGAATAACAATTAAAATATATACAAAATTACAATATATAGTTAGTAACATAAAATGCTAAGAAAAAATTACATATAATGCAGAATGTAACAATAATATTTATAAACAGAATAAGAAAATAATGAGATATTTGAAAGAAAATAAAAAGATTAACTTGTGCAGATGGAGATTATTTGATTAGGTGAAGTGTTGTGAATGTCTATTTCATTATTAATTAAGTTAAAGTTAGAGGACATAAGTAAAATTGGCGAATTTAAGAGAGAATTAGATTTAGGGGTAGGATAATTGAAAAATAATTGTGAACGCGAAGATAGCCTTGGAACATTAAAGGATAGTTGATTGAGAATAAGAGGACAGTCTATAGAATTATTGCAAAGCTTAAATAAGAACATAGTTGTACAGATAAATCGACGTGAGGCAAGGGAAGGAATACCAAATACTTTTAGTAAAGTGTTGTGGTCAAAGCCACGTTCAGGGTAAATTTTATATGTTTTATAATAAAGGTATTTCAGAAATTTTCGCTGAACCTTCTCTATCGCATCAGAGTTGTTGATATGATGAGGATAAGGTTTATTAATTCAATAGAATATTTCTGATAAAATAACAAGGAGAAAGTTCAACTTTTTTTTGTTAATAAGCCAAATGATGAGTCACTGCTAGAAAGGTTATTGCACCTTTGCTATGCGTATTTTTATTTGTTATTCAAGATGTTAATATAAAGTGAAATTTAAATAAAAATAAGTTTTACATATATTGGCATATAAAATTTAAACAATAATCAATCATTTAGGCCATGACCTACTATGCACCTAACCTAACTTTTAAACGTCAAACGTCTCTCTTTGTTTTATTGTTTACTTACCAAATAAGAAACGAAAGGAGAACATAATAAAGCTAACCAGATGTAAAGATGGGCAGCATTACAAAATACATTCTGGTGAGGATCGTAAAACCAGCCTCCGGTTAGAGAAGCCCATACACCTTGCCTTAAAATTTCCAAAGTTTGAGATCCCATGCTGGAATTTGTTTATATTTGTCATTCCATCTTCTATTTGTTCCACCATTCCACAATACCACCAGGGGAATTAACACACATTTATCATTTTAATTTATTAATTAATTTCAAAGGTAACTTCGCGGCCCTACGAAGTTCCATTCAAATCAACGAGACAGCTGATTACCTGATTACTTTGCTATGCACTTCGCAGTAAGCAGCCATTTTTAGTCAAGGCGCATTCCTAATACGGCGGTTTGTTTACACAATGAAAACATTATTGGTGACTTAATTAAATAACAACTGCTATTAACATTAACTGATTTTTTAGTAATATTTAAATATACCATGCAATTTGTCATCGACAATCACTTGATATATTTTTACGCACATACATTTTTTTTATCTAATCTAATCTTATCAAAGTGCACAAAAAGTTTTTTGCGGAAAAACTTAAGTAAAACTTAAGCGAAACAAATTTGTTTCTTTTAGAAATTGATATAATTTCTTTTGATTATGAAAAAACGGATTGCAGAATAAAATTTAACTAGCTGTAAGTGGAATTCTGTCTTGAGGCAATTATGGCATCGTGCCTTAAGGCAAATTGCTGGAACTTCCCGTACCGTAACGAAATGTTCGTGGAATACTGAATGTTTTCAAATAGATTATTATAAATATTGTAACATTGTCTAATATTTATAAGAATTATATAAACTGAATTGCAGAGTTGAAATTATTTGTAAAGTATATTAGAACTATAGTCAGAATTAAAAATAAAATCTGAAATATTTTCGATATACAAAAAACTAAAAAAAAAAAAAATTGGAACAAATTTTTTTTCCAAAATCAATTATTTTGTTAAGACAAGCAGAAAGTTCTTTAAATCATTTAAATCGGACGCTTAGTTCTCTCAAAAATTGCCATTTTTTACATATTTAGCTCCGTATCTTCAAAATGGCTGGGCCTGCCTTTGCCAAAAACTAATAAACACTTCTCCCAATCATTACTAATTGAATGTTTTTTAGATCATTCAAATCGGATACTCCGTTCTCTCAAAAATTCGATTTCTATTTTCTGCACTCTTTGCTCCGTATCTCCGAAACGGCTGGACCTGCCTTTGCCAAAAACTAATCAGCTCTTTTCCCTATCAATAGGAATCGAATGTTTTTTGAACCATTCAAATCGGTTGATCCGTGCGCCCGAAAACGTGACTGGAAATTTGTATCCATACATACATACACACACACACACACACACACACTAACACATCCATTTTTTCTGAGGTATGCCAAAACGTTCAGAAACCTTCAAAACGTCGAGAAATGTAAAAATTTTCAATTCCGATTTTCGGCCCATTACAATAACTTACCCTACGGGAAGTTAAAAAAAACGAATTGCAGAATAAAATTAACCCTTTCCACTCGGATGCCGCCGCTCCGGCGGCTAAATTCATATAAATCTAGGAATTAGCGAGTGGAAAGGGTTAAATAAAGGGTAAAAAAGAAATATAAAAAAAAGATTATGAAAAAAAACACCATATGACTGAGAAAATTGAAATATACTTAATGGTTTGTACGTTTAACAAAATAAAAACAGCATCATAAAATATATACAGATACAGTTGAAAATAATATTTTTATGTCTGTACATATGTGATTATTTTTATTTTTCTGTGATATTTTAAATATAAAAGATCGAAAATTGTTATAAATAAAACATATGTTTACTTCTAGCATGAATTATCAATAAACTGTTATTTCAGAGATTTATTTCTAATGATTTTATTATGAAAAAGGCTTATCAAAAACATTCAAATAAAAGACCATGAGTTGCTAATGATACAATATTCAATTTATGCTTATTTATCTGTGACAATATCCTTATTGTTTACTGTCAGAAATCAAGCATAACCTTTCCCGGGACTGTCAAATTCATTCACACAAGAATCGAGTTAGAATCCAATTTGACCTGTTGCCAGATTATTGAAAAGATTCAAATATAAACAAACAAATGCACATGTAAGAAATATTATAGATTATACCCTATATCATATATTTATGCATGCATTTTGATTGGAATATACTATTTATATAATAAGTTTCTGAATTATTCATATTTGTTTATCCAAAATACTGTGTAGTTGCTTAGTACATTAAACATGAATATAGTTTTCAACAAAATGCATAATTATTGCGATTTGAACTAACCACTTTATACTTGTTTATCTATGGAACTAACAATGGAATTTATTTTAACCGAAAAAGTCAGAACCGCATCAGAAAAGCATCATATGAAATTCAATATTGTTATTTTTCTAAAATTATAATTTCTAAGATATTCAAGTTACTACAGCTCTTACAGCATTTTTATACATTTAGCAGAATGCCTTTTTTATGCATTGTTTTTCTTTAATTTTTCAAAACTGCTATAAAATTCAAAAGACAATAATAATCTTCAAAGTAGCAATGGAAGAGTCTACAATAAATTTTACTAAATATAGTAAAATTCTTCAGCAGATAGAAAACTAAGTAAAATATATTACCTATTGTACTAATTGTAGGTTTTTAAACAAGTTTTGAATTTATTTGCATAATGTAACTCTGCTGTTAATATTTCTTTTTTATCAAAAAGTGAAATGTTTGTTTCTAATTAAGAAGATAAGATAAAGTGACTACCTTATGAAAATACACATTTGGTACAAAACTTGTTAAAACTACATACACAAGTAGATGATAAAAATTCTTGATTGTACTGCGTTTACAAATACTTCGGCTAGGAATTCATATACGGGTATGTAAGCATCGCAACGTCAGTATCTTTAAAAACTTTGTATAGTTGTGGCCACAGAAATATATACAGACTATAAAAAAATTGGACAATAATCTAGCACTTTGTTATTTGAACCAATTTTATATTATTTGAAGTGAATTAGTGCATGTTGTAATGCTGTAACTGATTAAACAATTGATATTAATAAATATTAAATTGTTTTAAATAATAATAGGTTTGTAATATTGCAATGCTCATGATTATGACATATATAAGTTCATTGATTTATAATCATTCCGCAAACTACATTTGTAAATAAACAAGTATTTTTAAACAATTATAATCAATTAAAATGTCAATAGAAATTGCGCCTGACACAGACAAAAATGTATTGACAGTGATGTAAAAATATACAAATTCAAATAAGATTCATGTATCTAATATGAATAAGGTACCATAACAACTAGTTCTAATCAGATTCCTATTGCATTCATATTATTAATTATGATTTTTAAATTTTTTGAACCTAAAGCCACTTAATACACTTCATATATGATTGAAAATATATGTTTTTCAATTAATTTTCAAATAAAGTTTTTTTAAGAGAATTTTTATATGTATTGTGTGTATATATATATATATATATATATATATACATATATACAGGGGCGGTCCTGGGGTCTTCAGCGTCCCCCATGCCATTTTTTTTTCTAACTTTATAAAACTATATTATAAATTTCATATCCAAATCTTACGTTGGCGCCCCCTAAGGCGTGCGCCCGCATTTTTTGCATGCATCGCGTTCAAGTTGGGAACGGCTCTCGAAATATATTATAATTATGATAATATGATATATACATGGGTAAAGCAAAGCAAATGCAATTGCATTTGTATTTGAAGCAATCAATGTAATTCACCATCACAGAATATTGGCTGATATTAGATAAAGCCGATTCTTTCAGTTAATTCGGGTTGAATAAATATTGAGCGTTTCTACGAAGGAATCTAAATCAGAATGTTTTCAATCACAAAAAACAATAATCCTTCTAAATAATTATAATGTTTGTGAAAATATTTTTATAGATGACGCGATCGGCTTCTTCTTCCGGCCATGGAAGCAAATCGCTGCTGGTCCAGGCCAGTATGCAAATCGGTGCAGGCGGGTCGGCAGGTTTTGTTGAGGTCTGCCTCATGCATCCGTTAGATTTGGTCAAAACGCGATTGCAACTGCAAAATACAACCACAAAGGTGCGGTAATTAAACCACATGTAAATTAAAAACAGTTAATAAGACTTTCGACAAAACAAGCAAAAAAAATTATTAAGTAATTTTTTGTTCATTAATCTGAAATGCAAACAATGATAATAACAAATCGCATTTTATCATTGTTATAAGAAGCAAATTATTAGATGCCGTTAAATAATTTCAGATGATGGCAGGTGACGCCGTGGTAATTGCCAGACACTACAATGGTGTGTTTGATTGCATGCGTACCATGGTCAGGACAGAAGGAACTCTATCATTGTGGAAAGGCATTCTTCCTCCAATTTTAGCTGAGACACCCAAACGGGCAGTAAAATTTTTCACCTTCGAACAGTACAAACAATTCTTTTTATTCGGTGCTGATAAACCCACACCTTTGGTAATTAACATAATATTAATGAGTAAAAATGATTTTTTTATACTCATATTTAACAGCAATCAGAATTTCGCCTGACTATAACAATATATTTTAAACAACTTTTACCTTATTGTCAGTTACAATAAATCATCTCAACATTTATAATAATATAAAGGTAACTTATATATATTCATTATGTCGACAGACCTTCTCTTTAGCGGGCTTGGGCGCCGGAGTTACCGAGGCTATACTGGTAAATCCATTCGAAGTCGTAAAGGTACAACTGCAGGCAAATAGAGCAAAAACAGGCCAAGGGCCAGGCACTTGGTCAGTGGCTAAAGGTAAACAATCATACACGTAAATGAACTACTAATATTAATAAAATCAATTTTTTTGCATTTTACTTAAAACAAAAAACGATTTGCTGTTAGAAACTGAACTTGTGAATTCTAATGCAATTCAGATGTTTATTTCCTTCATATCTGCAAAATATAGATTGAACGTTTCAATCAAAGTCTAACATTATTGACCAGCCATAAGTTTGTTTCAATTAAAGATCTACCAGATGATCTTTTTTATTACTTGAATATGAACAATTTGTCATATGAAAATGTAAAGGAATTGGTCAATGTTATATATATTCATTAAGTTGATTTTCAGCAATAATATCTGAACGCGGCTGGGGATTAAACGGACTAAACAAAGGTTTATCAGCAACGATTGCTAGGAATGGAGTATTTAATGGAGTCTATTTTGGATTTTACCATAGTGTAAAAGGTTTTCTGCCAGAGTACGAGGTATTTTTGTTTTATTTTTTTTATTATTCTTTATTCTATTTGAACAGCATCCAGAACTTCAAGGTTCTATAAGCTGTTTTGATAATCTGACTAATTAACACTTGTTCAATCTCGATTTGATCAATTTTATTATTACAAATTTTGTACAAGTGATGAATTTTCTATTGATGCACCAATGCCGAGCAGAAGGTATTTTCACTGGGAAACAAATTGTTATCTAGATTTCCAAGTGAAAACTAATGACAACATCAGACTGCTCTATGTTAAGCATAGTTACGCAAACAATCAACGACCTTTAGATCTTTTTAACTTCCCGAAGGAGAAGTTTATGTTTTCATCAAAAAATCCGATTCGCTAATTTTATGTTTTCTCGACGTTTCAAGCCATTCTGAATCGAATGAGACCAAATTTGGAAAAGTATGTGTGTGTGTGTGTGTGTGTGTGTGTGTGTATGTGTGTGTGTGCGTGTGCACCAACAGATTTTTTGCCGTAAATCGACGTTTTCTCGAAAACGGCTGGGTCGATTTCAAAAATTTAAAAGCCATTCGATGTATCTCGACGAGAACTATTGTTTGTCAGTTTTGTGCGACGATCGGCCAAGCCGTTTCTTTATAAATGGCAGAAAAGTGAAAAATTTTTCGTCTACGTTTTAGCCCGCAATTCTGAATCGATTTTGAAAATTCAAAAACCGTTCGAAAGATATTGGTTGGGAATCGTGCTGATTAGTTTTTGGTAGAGATCGGCCGGGCCGTTTTCTTGTAATAAAGTTTTAAAAAAAAAAAAATTGACGATTTTTATGATTATTTTTTTGACGAAAGATACCATAGTTTTCTAGGTCATACTAAAATATTACGGCCCTACGACAACTGGTTCAGCTTTAAAAATTCGTCAAAGTTTGCAAAAATCAGTATGGTCTTTTTGGCATTTGTCAAAATTAGACTTTTGATCGACGTTTTCTCAAAAACGCCTGAACCGATTTTAGAAATTTAAAAGCCATTTGATGTATTTCGGTGAGGACTATCGTTTGTCAGTTTTGTGCAACGATCTGACAAGCCGTTTCTTTGTAATTCGAAAAAACTTTTCGTACATATTTAAGCTCATCCTACCGAACCGATTTTAAAAATCAAAAACTGTTCGAAAGATATTAGTTGGGAATGATGCTGATTAATTTTAGGTGAAAATCTACCGAGCCGTTTTCTTGTAATTAACTGTTGAAAAAAAGTGTTAAATTTTCGTCGACATTTAAGCTCATCCTACCGAACCGATTTTGAAAAATCAAAAACTGTTCGAAAGATATTAGTTGGGAATGATGCTGATTAATTTAGGTGAAAATCTACCGAGCCGTTTTCTTGTAATTAACTGTTGAAAAAAAGTGTTAAATTTTCGTCGACATTTAAGCTCATCCTACCGAACCGATTTTGAAAAATCAAAAACTGTTCGAAAGATATTAGTTGGGAATGATGCTGATTAATTTTAGGTGAAAATCTACCGAGCCGTTTTCTTGTAATTAACTGTTGAAAAAAAGTGTTAAATTTTCGTCGACATTTAAGCTCATCCTACCGAACCGATTTTGAAAAATCAAAAACTGTTCGAAAGATATTAGTTGGGAATGATGCTGATTAATTTTAGGTGAAAATCTACCGAGCCGTTTTCTTGTAATTAACTGTTGAAAAAAAGTGTTAAATTTTCGTCGACATTTAAGCTCATCCTACCGAACCGATTTTAAAATATCAAAAACTGTTCGAAAGATATTAGTTGGGAATGATGCTGATTAATTTTAGGTGAAAATCTACCGAGCCGTTTTCTTGTAATTAACTGTTGAAAAAAAGTGTTAAATTTTCGTCGACATTTAAGCTCATCCTACCGAACCGATTTTGAAAAATCAAAAACTGTTCGAAAGATATTAGTTGGGAATGATGCTGATTAATTTTAGGTGAAAATCTACCGAGCCGTTTTCTTGTAATTAACTGTTGAAAAAAAGTGTTAAATTTTCGTCGACATTTAAGCTCATCCTACCGAACCGATTTTAAAATATCAAAAACTGTTCGAAAGATATTAGTTGGGAATGATGCTGATTAATTTTAGGTGAAAATCTACCGAGCCGTTTTCTTGTAATTAACTGTTGAAAAAAAGTGTTAAATTTTCGTCGACATTTAAGCTCATCCTACCGAACCGATTTTGAAAAATCAAAAACTGTTCGAAAGATATTAGTTGGGAATGATGCTGATTAATTTTAGGTGAAAATCTACCAAGCCATTCTCTTGTAATTAACTGTTGAAAAAAAGTGTTAAATTTTCGTCGACATTTAAGCTCATCCTACCGAACCGATTTTGAAAAATCAAAAACTGTTCGAAAGATATTAGTTGGGAATGATGCTGATTAATTTTAGGTGAAAATCTACCGAGCCGTTTTCTTGTAATTAACTGTTAAAAAAAAATTAAGCCGTTTTTCATGAAACTTTTTTTGGCGATATACATCATGGTCTTATAGAACTTACTGTAATATTACGGCCTTACAACAAGTAGTTTAATTTTAAAAATTCGTCAAAGTTTGCTAAAATTATTATCGTTTTTTTTTTAAAGTAGGATTAATGAAGTATATTATTTACACATTTTTTTTGATTAAGTCGATTATTTACACATTTCGGGAAGTTCATGTAACTTGCCTCAAGGCTAAATACCAAACCAACTAGTTTATTTTGCGTAGATCTTTAAATATTTCTGTCACGGATAATACTATATTATTAATTACCCACTTTTCAGGATGCGTTCTTAGACTTTCTGCGTAAAGCTGGAATAGGGTTTGTTTCTGGAAGTCTGGCCTCCTGTCTCAACATTCCGTTTGATGTAGCGAAATCTAGAATCCAAGGTCCAAAAATTCAAGGCGAGCGTCCTTATGTCGGCACACTGGCCACCGTTGCTAGAGTTGCCCGCAATGAAGGTTTCCGTGCCCTGTAAGTAGTAAATGATTGAAAATTTAATTGGGGGCAAAGGGTAGAGGTCCACAACCATCGCGGGTAAAAAGGCCCACCATCATTATCGTCAAAATAAACCATTGCCCTCCGTCCAATCCTATATATATATATATACATATACATATATATATATATATATATATATATATATATATATATATATATTTCATCCTTCATTTCAATAATTTTTTTCGTTGATATTTTAGATACAAAGGATTGTTGCCAAAAGTGATGCGTTTGGGTCCAGGAGGTGCCGTCATGCTTGTCGTTTATGATTATGTTTATGAACTATTGGAAAGAAAATTTACGTAAGAACTGAATTTTGATAAAAGGTAATAATAAATATAATTCAAAAATCATTCTTTACAAAAAGGTGCAAAAGACACTAATGTGTATTGTCTATATCAATTTTGTAAGAATTTTTCGAAATACTCTTTTGATCTGTGAAATTGAAATTATGGTTTCAACCTCAAATGCAAAGTCAAAATGAAATCAAATGAGGATTTTCATACCATAAAATTGATGTTTTTGAAAAATATAAGAAACATTTCTCACAATATTTGCTACATTATTGAGTCATTAATAATTAAATATAATCGATGCAACAGAATATTGAACAAACAATTATTAAGCGTTAAAATGCATATTAATAGTGATATTAAATTGATACTTAGAATTTCTTATGTAGAATATATCAGAAATAAGTTCAAAAAGTAGCTTACTACTATAATATGTTATTTTTATTGAATTAATCATTATATAAGTTTATCTCTTGTTTGTTCAATTTTCTATAAATGCATAACATTGTCTGACATTTTTAAAAACAAATGAAATAATAAGAAATATTTGTATCACTATTTTATTACTTTTACATTCCAATCTATGTTATGATATATGTAACAAATAAAAAATGGTTATAGAAATGCTTTATTATTTGTGGGTATTATAATTTTAAAATTACAAAACAGATATAGCCTAGAAAGGACTATTTTTAACTTCCCGTAGGGTCGCTAATAGCAAAAATGGATGTATGTGTGTGTGTGCGGATACAAATTTTCGTCGACGATTTTGGGAACACCGATCAAACGATTTGAGTAATTCGATTCGTAATGCTAAGGAGACGTGTTGATTAGTTTTTGGCAAAGGCAGGTCTAGCCGTTCCGAAGATACGGGGCAAAAAATGCTAAAAACGGTAACTCAGTTTTTAAGAGAAAAGAGCGTCCGATTTTAATAATTCAAAAAACATTATACTTGTATTGACAAGATGAAGAACTGATTAAATTTTTGGGAAGGCACGCCCGGCGGTTATGGACTCTCAATAAAAATAAGTTAAAAAAATGTGATTTGGCGGTCAAAAATATTTATTGGACATAAGTACATCAAATTATCATATATTTTATAGAGATTTTAATCATGTGTACACATTTTGTGTAAATTGCCGATGCCATGCACCCCATTAGTGACTTGAATATATTTATGATATATATTTTAAAGTAAAAATGGAAAAGGTTGAATCACTACTGCTTGATACCACGTAGGTTTTAGAAAAATGACAAGCATTTTCTTGGATTTTTTTCGGGAAGTTAAAGAATACATTGCAGAAGTTGCTTTTATTGATGAATTATAAATATCATAATTATTATTATGATTCTTAATACGGTCTAAATAAGAGTAATTGTTGTTAATTAACGTATTATGGAAAAAAATCTGACGACCTACGTTACCTTTCTTAGCAATATCTTTTGTGCTCTAATTGTGTCAATACATTGTACTTTCACCTGCAATGATTGTCGTTTGAAAATCTATTGCTATTGGCGATTGGCGATTTGTTTGTTGATTATTTATTTCACTTTGCCTTGCCATTTTTTGCTCCAATTGCATGATAGGTCGTGCCCGACTTATGACAATTTTGATTTCGTACCAGTAAGGTTGATCGGCTGAATATTGTTGTGTGAAAGTGACTTATTAGGTTTAGAGTCGGTGAATAATTATTGTATTATAGAAATTTCAATAAAAGAATCATCGAGTAGTAATAATATTCAGACATTGGTTTATATTACAAAACCAATTGGGTTTCTTATAAATTTTAATTATTAATTTCTTTCTATTGTTTTCTGGAAAAAGTTCTACTTGCTAATTTTAAAAGCCATTCAATGTAACTCGATAAGGACTAGCTATTATCAGTCATGCGAGGCGATCGGAAAAACCGTTTCTTTGTAATTAGCAAAACAAAAGTGAAAAAGTTTTCATCCATATTTTATCCAAAAATCCTGAATCGATTTTATAAATTAGTTAACATCTTGATGGATTTTGGTTGGGAATGGGCTAATTAGCTTTTGGCCGACCGGCCTGTCTTCGTATATAGGGGGAAATCCCGTAACGCCGGACGGCACGAAGCACCCGACACTCTATTTAACACGTATTATTTAAGCGAGTATAAATCTTTTTATTTCAAAATACAAGTGAAAGGAGCACGGGGGGCACACAGGTACAGGATCACGCGCCAAGCCTCGCCTGTGACGCACACGGCCACGGCGGGAGCAACCCTTTCCTGTTTTAGGCGCAAAATCACGGCGTCACCTAAATATCAATGGAAGTAATTCTAGCAAATTTATGCATTTACATTTGAATGGTATGCAAAGAAGAGTGGGCACTAAGTCGTCCCTTAGTGCCGGACAGTAAACATATTAATATTTTTTGTGAGAATTTACGTAATTTCTTCCAATTACGTGAGCCAAAATTAGACGTCTCGTCGACGTTTTCTCAAAAACACCTAAACCAATTTCAAAAATTTGAAAGCCATTATATGAAATTTGGTATGGATTCGTGTTGGTTAGTTTCTCAAACAGTGAAAAAAAATGCAAAATTTTTCTATTAAACATCAGTGTTTTGTCTATTCAAACAGGCAAGTACTGATTATTATTGCAACAGTACATTCTATTCTAAATAGCTAAGAATGATTGTCAATTTGTAACCCGGAGTAATTTTTTTATTTGACGGTCAACCCATAAGTATTTAAAAACTTAAATCATATGTTTATGGCCTTCGTGGTACATATGTTATAATTAAATAAAATATCTGCATGTCACTTTTGTAATCGTTTCATGACCAAAGTTAGACTAGAATTTACTTTCAGATAAATTAGATATGACTTCATGCTGTGAAAGATTTTATTACGAAATTTTTAAACACGTTTTCGAAATAAGTGAAATAATGAAATTTAGTATTGGATACGAAGCTTTCATCAGTTTTTTTGGGTATAAAAGGACAAATATCTCTCAATGTTGAATATCTCAAATGTCTCTCAATTTATTCCAGGATAAGTAAGTAAATTTAGAAAGACTTTATGGACCAAATTAGGATTTGTGATTTTAGTGAGCAAAAATTTACATTTGTATACAATATTTTTATAATTTAATTAGAATGAAATAATTTAAAAAGAAATCGCTATGTGTTTATTGACTAAGTGGGACTTTTAATATTCGGGTTTTTATATATTGAGTAAAACATTTTTGAACTTTGTTTATATTTTCCATCTTTTATTGCATTATTCTATCTGCTAGGTATTTTTCATTATTATTGAATATGAAAAGGTTATTTCAATTCATCAATTGTTATCAGGGCCGGATTAAAAAATTTGGCGCATTTTTGATGACTCATTTTTTTAAAAATGAAATGACTATTGATTTCAAAAAAACTATCACGAATTACATACTTCTTCTATGCATGTACATTTTTAACTTCCCGCAGGGCAAGTTATAGTTATCGCAAAAAAATCGAAAATGAAAATTTTTATATATCTTAACGTTTCAAAGGTTTCTGCATATTTTGGCATACCTTAGAAAAAATTGATGTATGTGTGTGTGTGTGTGCGGATACAAATTTTTGTCGATGATTTCGGGAACACCGATCAACCGATTTGAATAATTCAAAAAACATTCGTTTCGTATTGATAAGGAGACGTGCTGATTAGTTTTTGGTGAAGGCAGGTCTAGCCGTTCCGAAGATACGGGGAAAAAAGTGCCAAAAATGGTAACCCATTTTTAAGAGAACGGAGCATCCGATTTCAATAATTGAAAAAACATTTTACTTGTATTGACAAGATGAAGAACTGATCAAATTTTCATAAAGGCAAATCTAGCGATTTCGGAGATCGAATGAAAAAAGTACTAAAAAATGCCATTTGGTGGTCAAAAATGATCATTTCCACATTTTGCCGCCCTGAGCACTAGCCCCTACTGCCTCTACTGCAAATCCAGCACTGACTGTTATACAGTTTCTGTATGATTGAATTATTTGCGAAAAAGCCATTTTTTTGAAAATCCTTTCCTGTTGGAAAGGCCAGAAAATTAGAATTTATCATAGGTTTATGTAACGGCTAGGGTATACATAATAAATAGTGTACATTGTAGATAATGCCAAAAGCTTTGAAGAAGGAAGTACACAAATCGACGTTCATGTAAAATGTAAATAAAATAATAAGTTCCAGCATGAATTTGTAAAAGCATTAAGATCGTGCCTTTAGCAAGCCAAGATTAATAATGTCTCAGTAAACGGAGCAGATATAAGCTTTTGTAAACGTTATGTGCGAAAATGAATGTTGCCAGTAAGAAGTCATACTTATACAGGAGAATTTTCGCTACATGCGCCACAAGTCACCATATATTTATTTAGGTCCTAAAATATTGATTTTAGGACATTTGATTGTTTAACGTTTGTATCAAGCTAGCTCCTATTAACGAAGCTAAACTCTAATTTAACATTCTTTATAAACGATCAAAATTTTTATAATATCTGATATATGTATGGCCTGAAAATGGATTGGAGCGACGAAATCTGTTACAGATCTAATGATCATCACATTTTTGAAAATCACAAGCAAAAGTGTGCTTTAATCAATTTTTTAATGTGCTTATATTAAACATGTCACAGAAATAATGTTTTATTTTGGTTTAATTTAAATAAATAAAATTCGAAATATATTGTTTAAATCAATATGATACTCTATAACTGCATGCACTTCTACTATATAGAAGTAGAATACAGCAAGGATAATACATAATATATTTTCTAAGTTTATAATTCTTGTTTGAAATAGCAGATTTCATTAAATTTTTGAATTTAATCTCCTACATTGAAGACCTTCTTGTCACAATTGCCTTTTTATTCAAACTGTTAGCCTTTATCTATTATGTATTACCTAAAAGTGAATGTAAATCTAAATGTTTATTTGCTCGACATATGCTCCATATGAAATAATCTTTGCTAAATCATATATCAATTAAATATTATATACGAATTTGTTTTTCCCAGAAAGTCCAACTTGCTAATTTTATATTTTCTCCATGTTTCAAGTCTCAATCGTCAAAATCTAGGTGTAAGTGGTTATTGTTTTAATCACACCAAATTTTTATCCTTCCGCTTGATTAGGAGTGTATCAAACGATCATTTCTCTTCTAAATTAATATTTTTTACGCATATTTTGAGATTTATGCTAAGAATATATTATAATAGTATATTTTGTCTTGTAAAATTTTTGCTAAATCGACATATATACAAAGTTTATGAGATGCATGTTAGCATATCAACATTTTTTTTTATTTCGCCAATATATTATAATAAATTCAAAAATAATTTATTCGATTTTTAAATGAACACAATTTTCAAATTGATGTATTTAATAGTAATAAAACAATTTAATGCAATTATTATTATTTATGCAATTCTGTTTATTAATGCAATTCTGTTATTGCAAAATCAATGAAACTTTATCATATCGTAAGTTGATTTAAGTAAAGGGATATAAAACTGGGATCACATGCAAAATAAAATCTTGATACAACCATACATTTTGAAAATTGAATTATACTATGTTATGTTATGTTATATAAATTAAATTAATAAATCAGTATTTTAAATTATCAAATGCAATAAATAATATTCTCGTAGACTCCACAGATACATATTTGAACGAAAAGGTATGGCTTCTAAAATTCACGTAACTAAAACCGCTTTATTGCTACGTGTATAATTCAGTCGTTGCGCAATATTAAGTGCAACCATTCTAAAACCTCCCTTCCCACTCGAGTGTCTCATAATATCGCACGTTTTGCACTGATTCGTTATAATAAAATGTGTTTTTCTCATTCGCTCTCTCTTAGATCAGATGAATTTTTTTCCTTTGTTAAAGCGGAACCGCGCCTCTGGAGAGACCAGTCTAATCGCGACAACCGTTTGGTCAACTACCAAAAATTGATCCTAAGTGAAACTTACATTTCTTATGTTTTAATTTAAATTTAATTCAGAAAAATTTTAATGTGATATTAATAATTGTTATTATTTTAAATTAATATTAAATTAAAGTGATCATTTAGTTTATAGAAATGAAGTGGGTTTTTTTAGTGTCGTGTTTAGTGTGGGTGTTAGCATTGTCAGTGGCTCAAGAGGAACAGCAGCTGAATCGGCCGAAAAGAACATTGCATATTATGCTTCTGAAATTTGCTGATGCTTTAGGTTATGATGTTCAGCCTAGAACCGCAAGACCCCCGTGCCGGCAGTTACGATAAGGACTATTCTTGAACCAAGAATGCCAACACAGCCACAAGCAGCTCCTCAGGGACAGTCAGGAGGGCAACAACAACAACAGGCTGGTGGGCAACAACAACAACAGGCTGGAGGGCAGCAACAACAACAGGCTGGGACAACAACAACAGCAAGGAGGCGGGCAACAGCAGCAGGGAGGAGGGCAACAGCAACAAGGTGCTGGTCAGCAACAACAAATTACTTCGAGGCAGCGAGGAAATAGTGCTCTACAATTAAATGGGTTGATTCCACAACAAGGTTGGAAGCCACAACCATGGCTTCAAGGAAATTTACAATTTGCCCAGCCCCAAGGACCACCACCTCCGTCCCAAATGCCTCCAGCAAGTCCGGCACCTCCATCACAAATGCCTCAGCCCAGTCCACCTCCTCAACCACAAATGCCGCCAGCACAACCAGCGCCTCAGCCTCAAATGCCTCAAACGAGTGCAGCGCCACCATCACAAATGCCGCAAATGCCACAAGCTCCACCACCGGCACCAACTGAAACTTTCACAAAAACATTATCAATTAATTTTAACGTGAATCGCCAAGCTGATCCAGCTCCACCGGCACCTCAACCACAACCGCAGCAACCGCCGCCTGCACAATTTGTGCCATTTGGTTTCAAACTGGGAGTACCATTACCATTCCCGTTGCCGTTGCCTCAACCTCAGCAACCGCAACAGCCACAGCAACCTCAGCAACCGCAACAGCCACAGCAACCCCAACAACCACAACAACCCCAGCAACCACAACAGCCCCAACAACCACAACAACCCCAGCAACCACAACAGCCCCAGCAACCGCAACAACCACAGCAACCGCAACAACCACAGCAGCAACAACCGCAACAGCCACAACCATCACCCCAATCGCCACAGATGCAACCACAGCAACCCGAACAACCTCAGCAACCACCACAAAGTTTGCCACCACCACCTCAACAACCGTCAGGACCATCTGGACCACAATTTGATATACGACAGTTTGGAGGCCCACAAGGCCAATTTAATCAGTTTAATCAATTTGGTCAATTTGACGGTTCAAGTGAAGAAAATCAGTTTAATCAAGGACAATACGGTCAAGTTCCTCAAACAGGGCCAGAAAGAATATATCTTCCGCAACCTAATTCTGCACAACAATCTAGCGAAGAAGCTTCTAATGCAGATTATCCAGACTACAGCGAAGAATCAAATCAAGATGATACACAGTTCGAAAATGCAGTTAACCACTTCTGGCAACAACAAGCTTTGCACCAGCCAGGACCCCAGCATCAAATTGCGCAACAAACTGCGAGAATAACGTACCAGGGACCAGCAGCTAAACCGCAAATTGGTTTGGAAGGTTTCCAAAAGAATTTTGTGCAGCCTGGATATTATGAAGACCCAGCTTTTGCTCAATCTGCTCATAGAGCAAGTAACAGCATCATTACGAGATTTGATCGCCATGTAGGATACACCCAGCGCACCAGACATCCGTGGTAGAAGTAAAATGACATAATTGTGACAAAACTATTTGGTAAAATGAATGTAGTGGAATGTGAAGACGTTAAACATATAGTGATTATCAAAGACATGTGTTAAGTTAAAATTTTATTAACTTATTTATGAAAAATGATTTATTTTACACATTAAGATTATTTCGGATTTTATTTTACAACTAACAGTTTATTGGTTACTATTTCAATACTATTTTTTAAATAATTAAGTCAACTTAGAAAAACATAATTTGGTATTAACTCATGTCTTTGAAACAATACAACCCAGGAAGTGATCACGATCATTGCTAAAATTATAATATTATCGATTTGATGAATTGAGCTGTCGGTTTCATCACTATTTCGAAAATAATTAAATATGAAATGATGTTGCGTACATCTAAGAATTTTTATGTGATCTGTACATATATTGAAATCTAAATATAAACGACCATACGAGTATTCGATTTTTTTTATTTAATTAAATTAGTACAAAAATTATGAATAAATTTTTCGATAAATCCTAAATTCTTATTATACTTCTGAATTAAAAACTAAATTAAAATAAAATAAGTAAGATAAAAATATAATATACCACTTATATCCGTGCTTATAATTCATTACACTAGAAAAGTAATATAACGTAAGCTCATATCTAGCTACTCCTAACTGAAAAATGAATAATTTCGTATTAATCGTTCGATCAAGGATTATTAAAAATCACTCCTCTCTCAATAATCAATTTGGAGTTCTGGAATTGCAAAAACTGCCTTCATAATTTTTTTCTGTATGATTCAAATACTACGGGCTTTGCTTTTGCAAGTCGTAGCTTTCATTTCGTTATGCTTAAAATCGCGATTGTTCAACCGTATTGTACGAAATTTTACTCCATGGCAAATTCGGGATTGCACAGATTTAAGCAACATCATATATTCAAAAAAAAATGAATTAAGTCATCAGCATATCATGTTATCTTATGGTATAGTGTATTCGTGACCTTCATAGTTAAGCAAAATTTAACAATTAATTAATTTTGTTTTAAACTTTAAAACAATGGAAAAATGTATAAATCCAGAAAATTACTAAACTCTTAATTGTCGTATACCATATGGATGAACAAGATGTGGCGCAAAATGCGTTAAATTCACCGTAGCGTTAATAAGTAGATGCTGGTGGAAAAATGACTATGTCATAATTGAACTCCAGCTCCGTGAATAACGACAACCCAGAGACTTTATAAATTCAATTCCATCTAGTTTCAAAATTCAAATCAAACCGGTGGGATACATGGCATCGGGCCTTAAGGCAAATTACTGAAACTTCCCGCACCAATTTTTTTTTTTTAAATATTAACATTATTGAAAAGGTTTTTTTTGCCAAAAACTAATCAGCACGTCTCCTTATCAAGAGCAATTGAATGTTTTTGAATAATTGAAATCGGTTGAACCGTGTTCCCGAAATCGTCGACGACAATTTGTATCCGCACACACACACACATACACACATACACATACACATACACACAAACATCCATTTTCTCTAAGGTATGCTAAAATGTTCAGAAGGTTTTGAAACGTAAAGATATAAACACATTTTCATTTTCGATTTTCTTGCGATTACTATAACTTACCCTATGGGAAGTTAACAATGGTTGTTATTTTTTTAAATAAAAAATTTAAACTATAACAGTTAATTAATAAAAATAAGATAGATAAACAAAGTGCACAGCATGGTCTCGTACAGAATTGAACAATATGAAATAATATTTATACAATTTAAACATTAATCTACATGTAAAATTTGAACAAAATTCAATTTTTTTTAATCAAAGATGCAAGCAATTTTAATGTATTAGATGAATAAATTAAGATAAATCAAGAAAAAGTAATATTGAAATATTTCTTTTCCTTCTTTAACAAGTTATGATGGATAAAAATTTATCTGATAAAGATTGAAGCATGTTCTGAGATTTTAATGCCTATTTACGGAAAAGTTTTTTTCCCTGTCTTTTTACTTATTTATCGTAAGATAAAATAATTCAAGACAAATATAAAGAAATTTAATAAAATGGTAAAGCATTGACATAGATACTTTATATTTTTGTAAATATGTAGTAAAATAGCAAAGCAAGTTTATACGAAATTAAGTCTATTAGAATACGACGTCTTTTCTGATATCTATAATTTTGTTTTTGCAAATTTGAAATAATCAATTTATGGTTGAAATAGTTTTTTTCGATTTTTTATCCAAGGGATTCTTTTATTTTGCAAGTGAAAAGCTCTTTAGTCCAGTCATTTAAGCTCAAATTAGGTAAGAATCTCGGAATTCGAGATACCCATCTGTAAGTCTGTAAATACTTGTATAAAAGTTGTCTCAAAACCTACATATGGTAAGGTGTACGCAACATATGTAGGTTTGAGACAACTTTTAGGTGCCAATATACAAGTTACAGACTTACATCTGGGTATCTCGAATTCAGAAGTGATCTAACTATAATGATTGGACTACTTATCGTTAGCTCTATTGTTGGTACATTTCTGCAAACATCGATGTGTAAAGTATTTAAATCGAAGTAGTCAAGTATAATTTGCAAGACGGTACAATACTTTTTGAAGATATAAATAATATTATAAGAGTAAAGTTAGTACCCACTACTAGAAGATCGTATAGTGAACCATAAAAGCTCATGAGCAATAGAAGATTCAAAGAGAGTGTTAGGATGCGATTGGAATTTATCTCGAAAAAAAATAGCCAAATTTCTTGCAGTTTTATATGTGAGACTAACTAGCATTTAGGGGCCTAATTTTTGGAGATGCATGCCAAAAATGGACGTAGCTGGGTATTCTATTTCCATTGTTAGTCGGTTTTAGATATGCAGTATTGCATACATTTTTTGTTTTGCTCACAGTTATGCATTGCGCACATGCTTAATGTGCATTCTTAGTCTGTTGTACATTCTCTCATTCGAACATATAATATTATTCAACTGTGATTAAAATCGACAAATGTATAAATAGTGCACACCTCGTGTCTTATGTCCCGAGCCGGTTGACAAGACACGCACTATTTGCTCTTTTTTACCAGTTTTGTAATAAGCTGGCAGTGTGAAAGTGTGTTTAATGAATTTTTTAGATAAATCTAATAGATAAATAGTTTAAGAACTACAATTGATGTAGTTGCGATAATAGCGAATGTTTGAAATTAACTCGTTTCCTATATTTTACCAACTACATTTCCTTGTTCATAACTCATGTACCGAGACTAGATTTGGTCAGGATGCGTCCAAACTACTTTTAAAAATGTCTTGAGAAGATTTTAACTATTTCATTAATTCATTTTAATTATCATTGAACAACATAAATCTTTATTAAAATTGTGTTTTTTTGTAGAAATAAATTACATTTTAGTGAATAATTATTAATTCATCCAGAATAGATTTGGTCAGAATGCGGTCAAACTTTACTAAGTTTAAAAATATCTTGAGAAGATTTTAACAGATTGAATTCAACAGAAGATTCATTTTAATTATTATGGAACAACGTTAATCTTTATTACAATTGTGAGGGATTATTTTTGCAGAAATAAATTATATTTTAGTAAATAATTGACTATTCATCCAGAATGGATTTGGTCAAACTTTACTACGTTAAAAAAAATGTCTTGAACAAATGTTAACTATTTTATTAATTCATTTTAATTATTATTGAACAACTTAAATCTGGAGTTTATTGTGTTTTTTTGTAAAAATAAATTATATTTCATTAAATAATTGTTTATTCAAATTAGGAATTTTGTTAAAGCTGCTTTTGCTTCTTTATTAAACATCAGAAATTGCTCTAAAATTTTAAACAAATAGTTCTATATATAATGAAAAACAAAATTTGCACATGTATATAAATATGCGATAATTAAATTTTATCTTATTTTGCATCTCACAGTATAAACAATTATTTAAAAAAAATATGGTTTATCAAAATACATAAACAATTGGACTTTTAGTAAGGTTCTTTTAGTAAGGTTTAGGTAAAAAAAATAAGAAAAATTTGTTCTACTAAGAGAACAAATAAGAAAAAACAGTTTCCCAAATCTTTACTATGCTAAAACATGATCTAATATACACGTAAACATGCTTAAAAAATTATTTGTTTATAAGCATGCGACAATTATATTTTATCTTATTTTTTACATCTCATAGTATAAACAATTATCATTTTAAAAAATATGATTTATTGACATACTTTCAAGCATTTTGACTTTTAGTAAAGGTAAAGAAAATAAGAAAAAATTGTTCTACTAAGAGAACAAATAAGAAAAATCAGTTTCCCAAATCTTTACTTTTCTAAACATGATCTACTTGGAAGTTCCTATATAATAAATGGCATTTAACTGATTTAATTGCCTAAACCCAAATTCTTTCTTATTTTTATAGTCTAAATTTTAATAAATCAAATAATTAAATTAAAATAAATCAAATAATAAAATTAAAGAATTAAATTATTTTTTTAAAATAGTTGTGAATTCTTTTAAGCTGTACTGTACTATTGTTTGCTTATTGCGGTCGCACCATTTGGATTTTTTTTTATAAAAAAACAACCTCTAGTTATTATCATATTTTAACTTTAAATTATCCAGATATTGCAACATTATTGTTGTCCATAATTTTTTTCCAATGTTCGATTTTTTTTCATTTTACGATGCGGTTTGCTCTACTTTATATGGTACATAACTTGGTGTCGCTTTTTCGCAAAAAAAGTGCCCGATATGTAATTTGCAACAGTGCCTGCACTTGCCAGCAAGAAATAACCGTTGACAATTTTCATTTTAGAATGTCCATGAGTATGACTATTACGTATAAATATTATGTAAAACATATCTAGCCATGCGCAAGTTGCAACTATATCTATATAAAACATTGAGACTTTATAAAATGTAAATTGCATATTACTTTTAACCATAAATGTGCTCGAATATGGAGCAGGTAAAGCATATATACGACAGGACAATTTA